TCCATGGACAGGATCTCCTGCCGGATGTCCACCCGCCTGTTAAGCGGGACCGCAGCTGCCATGGTGATCTCATCTGCCGTGTCCGTTTTTGGGGGGGCTCTCCCCAAGACCGTGCCGTCCACCAAGTTGCGGTCGGCCTGTGCCCGGGTACCACCGGGGCCAGCGGCACCCAGGCTTCCCCATGCTCGCTGCTGGATCCAGGTCCCTCCACGATGAGCAGGTTGTAGGTGATGCCGTCCGCCTCATAGGTGGACGAGGGTGCCTGAAAGGGGGCGAACTCCTTGCCGGGGCAGACCCAGCACTGCTTGGCTGCCTCTGGCCACCCCGTGCCGCATGCCTTGCACATGAACTTGTAATCGGAATGGCCTGCATCGAGCCTGTGCATGCGCTGGGTGCCGACACACGCCTTGTTCCTCTGGAACTGCGAAGCCCAGACTTCCTCCTGGCGGAGCTGGATCTTCATCGGGACATACGCCTCCAGGATGCGAATCACCAGGTCCTCGGTGAGATTCTTCCCGACAAACTTGTGGAACAGGGAGACCGCCTCCTCCACCGTAATGTCCCTCAGCAAGGTGGCCGCCGACGCTGGAAGGACTGGAAACAGATCCGGGAGGTCCACCAGCTTGAAGTACCCGGGCTTGCCGTCCACCGGCACCAAGGAGACGGGTTTGTTGGTCTGGGACGTAGCCTTCTGAGAAGCCGCCACGAAGCCCTTCAGTCTCTTCGTGGGAGGCGTCTGCGCCTCCTCCGGTGGTGTGGTCCGCTCCATGCCGTCCGCATCCCCCATGCCCTCGTCGCCCTCCTCGGCGGGGCCAGGGGCACCCAAGCCGGAAGTCGGAGTGGCAAATGCCACATGGAGACGCTCCAGTGCACTGGAGAGGTCCTTCATCACATCGGTCGCCGAAGATGACGGGGGGGCCTCGGGCTCGTCCAAAACCAAGCCGGCCGCCACTGCCGCCTCCCGTGTGCGGATGTCCTGGGCCTCCTGGCTGGCCATTTCAACCTCCTCCACGGTGAGTGTCTGGTCCTCAATCAGCTCAAAGGAAGTTGCCGAGGTTGCCGAGGAAGCCATTGCTTGGTCGGGGTTAAGTTCGAAAGTGCCACAGATCAAACTTTTTCAAACAGCTTGGGTTCCAGGAACCCAGATCAATGCTTGAGCCAAAATGGCACATGCCATTGTGGTCAAGCATTCCACACACAGTTCATGTTTCCACATGCGTTTCAACATTAACAAAAAATTAGGAACACTAAAGGGCCACTTCCGGATGATTTGCTTTGAACCAGTGAACTAATCCACAATCTAGGTTTCTCAAAGGGCGTCTTTGAGGTCCCACCCCCTCAGGGTCCAATGCTTCGGGAAGGAACATTCCTCAGGTGCACTGGCAACCAGCCTCTCAACCACACTCAACCACAAACTTATGGGTAGATTGCAGGCAACGAGTGGGGGTTTCCTTGCTCCAAAATCTGGGTCGAGCTGGCCCCCTGAGCAAAAGGTGGATCACTTGTTGTAGGTCCAATCTTGGCCCTCATCCGGGTCCGCCAAACTTTGTGATTCTCTGAATCTGTTCTATGTTTGGTCTGCCTAAAATGTTCATAGCTTTGGCGGAGACCCCAGACATGAAACATAAATTTGTTTAAGGGGCCTTTGGGTTCACACCCGATGAACCAGTCATGATCTCCCCGACGGCTCCTCCTGCTGGTCCAGGGCTATATCCCGTTGGTACCGGGCCTCGTCCCGCTGACCTTGCTGCTGTTGCTGCTGGCTTCAAGTTTCCCTTGCTCACTTGACTGGGTGGTTCCCCTATAAGGAAATCATCTGGCTGTTGCGGGTGCGGAGAGACCATTGCAGGTGACTGTCAGGGCATGCTCAGGATGTCTTCGCCTGGCTGGACCATAAGTTGCATGACTGACAGAGACTGGCAGTTTCTCACAATTGGAGTTCCGACCCTGGTTGGTCTTCAAAGGCAAACCAAAGCGACTCCGGACAATATTTTTGTTGGTTCCCTATTTTGAGAAACTGGAAGGGAGTAGACTCCTAAGCCCACACAATCATCCATGTTTTGGAAACAAGAAGATCCGAGCACGGAGCCAGCAAAACCAATTTTCGTTCATTCCGCAAACGCGGCTAAGAAAATGCACACGTAACCAGCAGATCAAAACACTCTCTCGACATTGTGCTGACACCACATTGCTTGCATCAATGGGGGCTTGCCGCACTTTCAAGACATTTGAAACAATTTTATTGTTCCATTGTTTTTGCGCCAAGCCTGGTCCTTCGTGGCGCGCAGGCGGAGCAGAGGTGGGGTTTCGGACACGGGGGGGGGGGGGGGCGGGTGAACTGTTCGTGACAGTCACATGAACAGCGGACCCAAAGTCACACCATGACCAGCGCTCGACGCACTTTCAAGACCGTGGCTTAAGTACTCTTGTGTTTTTTCTTTGCGGTTGGATGGCAGCATGAATATACTGCCCCGCCTGTGAATTGCAGAGCGACTTGAAGTCGATGGAAATCGCTTGACAAAAGCCGTGATTCGAAGTATACCGCCCCATTGACCCAACATGTTGGAAACCTGGGACGAAGAATGTTACTTGGCCCCGCCAACAACAAGTAGCACCAAACTCCGACATGTACATTGAGGCGTCTTCCGTGATTGTGTGGCGCATCAATGAAACCAGGATGAGTAAGGGCACACACTGGATTCCCAGCACAGAGCACTGGTTGAAAGGACTTCTTTCCAAATGAACGAGAGGCCCAGGGCAACAGGGCAACAAGGCATCAAGGTTAGATACGAGTTCCACTGCCCTATTGACAAGCCGCAAAAAAGGGTCCCTCGGAGATTCTTCTACAAATGCGGCTGTTGGGCGCCCCTCCGCAGGATCCGCAGGGCACCTCAAATCTTGGCCCCCGGCACACGGCCTCATCGCACTGACGCTCCGCAGCGTCTCGCCTGACGTCGTGTTCACGACGAGCTCTAGCACCGTCAGACATGCACCCGCGCACAGGAGAAAAACAGCCTCCCTCCGCAAAAGAAAGCATGAACAAATAAAATAACTGCATGGTCTGAGAAACTGTAGGAAGCCCAAAACCCAATTTGGACCCAGAAATGACTGGCGACCACGTGTTGGGGCCACTCAAAAAGGGACCAGGGAAACCAGAAGGTCAAAAGGTCAATTCGCTTTGGGCATGTGAGGCAAACAAGCGAAGTAAAGCCCGGCAATGACATGTAATGGTTAATTCAGACCTTTTCTTTTCCACTGCAAATTGGATCCTTGGTACAGTAAGTTGAACAAGTTCAAGTGCTGGTGTTTGGTTTCACATTGGTTGGAAACAGTGCATTAAGTTGTCAGTAAGGTCTACCCGGTCAATGCCCAAGGGTTCCATCACTTCTCCACCTCCAGCAATGGGCTAAATGGACGCGTGCCGTTTATTTTGGTTGATGGGCAAGCCAAATTGGGTGCAAATTATGGGCCTGAAAAACAAGCATTTAAACATTCACTCCGGTTCAAGCGCGCGCACAGCAACAAGGCGGTGCGGCACGCAGCGGTCTCTTGTCCTCAAAAAGGTCTGGACAGGTCATTGGTAGACCTGATTCGCCTCGTGGCAGTGAACGCCGAAATCAAATGGTGCACCTGTACAAGATGGTGTTCCGCCAGGCGAAGATGGAGGCCTCTGACAGGCATATGAATTCCAATGGGTGCGAGATGCACCAGAGTCACACTAGGCACGGGAGCGTTCCAGGCCCGCATCGCCGCGCGGAATCCACGTTGCAGATAGCGCACACAGGATGCGAGTGTCATACCATGGTGCCGGGAAGATCCATTGTTCCACCTCTCCTGCAAGCCAGGTGCAGGTACCGGTAAAGGCGCGAAGTTGGCCTGTTTCACCAAAAAGGCCAGCTCAATCCAACTCACGGCTGCAAGGCCCGCACCAACTGTATCGATCGAATGCATCCACTGCATCAATGTCAGAAAGAAGGGCGGGTCAAAGGGTGCCATAATCGGACTTTCCCGCAAAAGGCTGCTCCAGGCAATCGGCAGATCGTCCAACCAGTAGGAATCATGGAGCCAGGGGATCACACATTGCGGGGTCGATTCCGTCTCAAGCTCGGGGTCCAATTCCAGTGGGGTGGCCAACAACTGCGCACGTGCCGATGCAACATCCACATGCAGAGAAACCAGTGCCTTGATGTCCCGACAAACCTGAAGGTCATGCTGTTGGTACTGCGAGTGGCTCTGTAAAAACTGCATATTGCGTTGCCAGGCTGCCTGCTTAGCCAGAAGGTCGACACGGTTGTTGTGAGCGACGATCCAGTCCGAGACCGGATTAAGGCTGACCGTCGAATCCCCATGCGCCGCAACATGCTGTATCTGAATCGTCGCCTCGTGAACCGACAGGGCGTTCTCAATGTCCGCCCAAAGGTCACAGTTAGCTCCAGGTTCGTGATCCAAACCATGGAGCAAAGCATTGACTCCCGAGGCCACATAGGCAGAGTCCGTCCAAATAGAGATCGGTGAGGCGATAGCATGCACGTTTGACCAGCACAATACCTGAAGCACTGCCGTGAGTTCCGCTCGACTGATGGTCTGAGGGTGGCCAATCAGTGGGCCCGCCAAATCAAAGTCGGTGAAGGCCAATGAAGCCGCCCATCCTGCTAACGCCAGCATCGGGTGATGGGGTTGGTAACAGGAGCCATCAGTAAAGAAGTCGAGGTGGGAAGGAAGAGCAGAGGTGTGTGCGTGCAAGGCGGTCTGAGGCTGAAGCCAGAGCTGATGGAGCAGCTGCTGGTGAAAGGGATTGGCTGGACAGAGCAGATGCTCTGTCATGCACGAGGGAAGGGCATGCCAACGCCGCCGTATGTCGGCATGCCGGTGCAGAACCGGTTGAAGCCTTGGACAATGTAGGCACCAATGCTCAATGGTGTCGGGGCCCGAACAGAAAGAGCAGCTCCCATCTTTGGTAAGGTCGAATTTGGCCTGAGATCGACCCGTCATGAACGAGCCTTCCACGAGGGCCTGCATGCTGGCCAGAGCAAGGGGTGGAAGACTTTGCAGCGCGAGTTGAGTTGGGCGCCAGTCGAGACCCAGAAGACCATCGATGTCCTTGCGCCGAGCAAGTGTCCGGGACAGCCTGAGGTGCCACCCATGCACCGCCTTCGTCCAAAGTTGGTCTTCCGCAAGACCAAGGAAGTCGAATTGATGTCCCGTGTGGTCAGAGACGAAGGGAGGGTCATGCAGATGCCAGCTAAGGAGCTCCAGCTGGTTCAGAAGAACGCTGAATGGGCCCGGGTGCAGATGGCCAGAGAAGTGCGCCATGAAGTCCTGCCACAGCAAGAGCAGGTAGGGCTGCTTGGATGTCAAGCGCCGGAAGTCACGGAAGGTGGTCCAGAGGCAGTACAGGCCCGGGTCCAGTAGTGGGTTGGAGCTGAGCAGGGTTAGGCGGACCGCAGGTTGAGCACCTGCCAGACCGTGGCCAAGTGCTTTGCACACCTTGGTACGGAGTTTGGAGATGACTTGGTCAGGGCACACGTTGATGCCTGTGGCGTGGAAGATTTTCGGCCAAAGGGCCTGAATGATGACCTGCTCCTTGAGCACCTGTGGAACTGGAAGTCTCCGGATTCGTAGCCACACGTCATCCAAAGACTTTAGGAGGCCCAGCAGGGAAGCCGTGTGGCGTTTAGCCTGCATGGTGAGCTGCCCGCCCAGGTCGCGCGCATGCAGCCTGACTGTGTGCCCCAGCTTAGTGAGAGGCTGGCACGAAGAGGAGCCAGCGTGGCCCAGCAGAAGGTTTTGGATTGATCCAAGTCCAGCTGCCAGAGATCCATGAAGACGGCCTGGGTGACGATGCCATGGATCAGGTCTCCAATCGAGTGTCCCAGAAGGGCGAAGTTGTCCACAAAGGATGTGGCCAGGATTTTGGGCGAGAAGTGGTGCATGTAGTGATGATAGGCCAGATCCACGACGATCATAGCCACGCAGCTGAGAGCACAGCCCTGGGGATATCCCGTCGTTGAATGCAGCGGCTCTCCAATCTGGCCATGCCAGGTCCAGCGGCGACTCATTTGGTCGAGCCATCGATGCCAAGCGTCAACGAGGAGCGAAGGCATTCCCAGGTGGCATAGAAGCCACGCTATTGGTTGGCGAGGCAAATGGTCAAACGCCTTGCAAATGTCAGTGATGTGCCCCAGTAGCGGGGTTTCGTGCTGGAGACTGTGTTCAATCAGGGCCTGGGTAGTGAGCCAAAGCTCACCAGGCTCCCGGTTGGGAAGGAAGCCCATGGCCATGAACGGGACCATGAGCGCGAGGCGACGGGTGGCCTGCTTGGCGCGCAGGGAGCTCCAGTTGCGCTGGATCAGTGATGTGATGACCACCGGCCGGAAGTCTTGAACCATGGTGGCAGTAGTTGTCTTGGGTATGCCAACAGCGTGGCCCTCCAAGAGCTGTTGAGGCCAAGGTTGACCTTGCTCAACGTCAGTGATGAGCTGAAGCAAGGTGGCTTGTTGTGTGGGAGGCATGTTGCGCAGGTCCTGGAAGTCGTAGCCGTCAGGACCTCTAGCCGATCGGCTGGTGAAGCGCTTGAGACCGTATTGCCATTGGGTAAGGTCCAGGGGCTCATAGATCCATGGACTTCGTGGCATGTAGACCTCCGCAAAGGAGATGATGCGTCGTAGTTGAGCCTCGGGTAGTTGCTGGATCCTAGACCAGCGTTGAGACCAGTAGGATGAGAGCTCCTCAAAGATCTCGGAGGGTGTCGTGAGCTCAATGTCAACCTGAATGTCCTGGCCCGGGGTGAGCACGTGGTCCGCATCGACCCGCAAGTGGAAAGGGCCCTCAATGACAGCAGGTGCAGGCTGGTCGTTGAAGGTGAAAGAGGAGTGGCGGTGGACCGGGATGTCATGTTCCGTGTGGACCTCTTGGCCATCCTCACTGACTGCCAGGATTGTGGTGTTCACCGACTTTCTCAGTGAAAGTGGAGCGCCCGGGACCGGGTCTTTGATGCGAGAAAACAGCAACCGGCGCCGCTGTTGCAGGAGCAAGCTCAATGCATGGGACCGTTGCTGGTAGCACCAAGTTTCAAACCGGCGAAAGTTGAACTCAAAGTCAGCTTGGATAGGCAGCAAGCTTTGGAGATCAGGGGTCTCCGTGGGAAGAACCGTGGGAGAGCCCTGAAGCTGCTGAGGCCGAGAGAGCCACCATTGGGGGAAGCCAGGATTGAAGCCTTTGGCGTTCATGATGGAGGCCCATGTGTTGGAACGATGGAGGGTTGCCTCCAAGTGGGTTTTGCCTCCCCGTGTGGCGTGGACCAAGTGCTGGATACGCTTGAGCTGTTGGTACCAGCGAATGACGTTGCGATTGACCAGGTCTGAACGCAGTTGGGGGTCACCAGGTCTGGGAAGTGGTGCCGTATTGAGACGCAGCTCCGGTTGGAGACGCTGCGCTCTGCCCCGACAAGCGTTGGGGAGCATGTGAGGAGCCTCAGTGATGTGGGAGCTGAGACTCTCTTCAAAATGCTTGCCGATCTCGCTGTAGCGAGATGTGGTGGTGGTTGAGGTGGTCGGGGTATCCATAGCACAGGATGTGCCAGGCCTCCTTGTTGACCGAGTTTCAGGGAATGAAGTTGGGAAGAGGCCAATGCCAGACCTGATGGGCGAGATCCGGTACCTCGATGGTGGCGTACAAGGGAGCATGACCGGAGCCTTCCCAGGCACTGTTGACACTGGTGATCATATGGGCCAGTTCCGGGCTGACGAAGATTTTGTCAATGAAGGTGGAGCCATTGAAAGTAGGCCTAGGAGCGCGTCCCCAAAGATTGAAGGCAAGTTCCTGGATCTCCACCCAACCTGCCTGGCGCCAAAGGTCCAGATCCGCAAGTTGTTCGTCACTGTGATTGTAATCCCCGGCCACAAATCGAGGGCCAGAGCGGCCGTAGACAAGTTGTTGGGTGAGGTGGGAAAGCAGGTCGTTGGTCCACTGTTTGGCCTTCGGCCAAGTTGGTGACTGAGGCCAGGCGTACAGATTGGCACCAAGGATGCAGGTGTTGTCCACCCAGAAAGAAGAAAGCTGAACACGTCCAAGTGTGAACTCCTGTTGAGGCCAAGGAAGGTTGAGAGCCCTGGCGGGAGTGCTAGAGCACTGGAGAACTCCAGACCAAGTGCCCGCCGTCTGGGAACCAGCACGAAGCGGGACGGGAGCCCCCGGGAGAAGGCGAAGCTGACGATTGGATGCATGTGCTTTGCTGCGCATCCGCCGAGAGAAGTCCTGGATGCCAAGCGTGGATAAATGGGTTTCAGAGCAGTTCCATATCCCCGGGGGGAGAGATAGGAGGAGGTCCTCCTTGCCGAGTGGCTCCGTTGCAGTTCCAGGTGCCCAGAGAGAAGGTGGAAGGGCCAGGATGTAAGGCCTCACCATAGCGTAGCGTAGGAGGTCCCTGCCATGGACCAGATGGGCCAAGGAGACCCAAGGGGTGGTGTGACTCAAAAATGGTAGTGGGCTCAGGAGAGCCAGAAAAGAAAAGGTCATGGCCGGAAGGATCAGTGGGGCTGGCACCCACAGCCAAAGTGCCCCAGAAAAGACCCAGCAGCCATAAAATCCGGCGAGGAAAAGGGCATGGAGACAGGGAGCCGGTGGCCTGCCTTTGCCTGAGGAGTCAAGAGGAGCGGAGCTTCTTGTTGAGCAGGGCTTCAATGTTGCCGAAGCCCCTGCTCATCTCCTCACGAAGCTCTGAGTTGACCGCCTGTAAGGTGGTGCTGTTCTGCGTGACCGCCTGCTCCAAATTGGAGAGTTGGGTCTGGTGAGAGGCGACCTGGTTGGCCACCATGTGCAGCTTGTGATTGGCCTCTTGGTTGGACTGAGCCGCGTCCTGAAACCAAGATTCGAACTTGTGGTTCTGCTCTTTGATTTCCCGCATATCGACTTCAAGTTTGCTGAGCCGATCCTCTGAATCGTCTGCCATGTGCTGGTCCAAGTGGGCAGTGGATTGTTGATGCAGTGAGCTCTGGACCTGTTTGAGCTCCAAGGAGAGCTGTTGCCATTTGCCGGAGGAAGCCGCGGAAGAAGAATGTTGTGCCGCTGCTGCCCATGGAACGCCCAAGGGTCCTGGGCAAGACCCGGAGGTTTTGGGAGCTTCGTACGAGTGGAAGCCAGCAGAGGTGCCGCTGGGGGTGGGGCCTTGGCCGCATGTGAAAAGGAGACCAGAACATCCCCCGTGGATAGAGTGAGAATCTCCCCTGGGGGCTTTGAGACCGCTCCGACTTGCCAGCAGAGGCCGTGGCTGTCGCTGCGTACCGGTTGCAATGGCTTGGCCCGCCATTTCCATTGGTTGAGAGCCTTCTGAAGACCAGCTCTCTGAGTGCCGAAAGGCAAAGGGTACAGGTGATAGATCTCCTGGATGTCGAGCGGAACGAAATCCTCACCGGGTCGGAGTAGTTTGTGCGCTTCGGGCAGGTCCGTTGCAAGGAACCGCAACCCAATCTTGGAGCCGAAGCGGGCCAGACCAAGTGCGCCTTTGACTGACGATCGCTTGCACAGGATTTCGGACAGGGTAGCGCCAGGAAGCCAAATGACTCCAAAGCGTGAGTCCGGCGAGCGATCATCCCTGGGTTCGATGAAGATGCCAGAGGCCCCGGAGACGGACAAGAGCACCGTGCAGGCCGATTTGGGGATCCGTGCCATGATGGACCATGTGGTGCTGTCTTCTGGCTTAGCCTTGGAGCCAAGGTTATGGAACTGCCTGGCCCAGAGATCCAGTATCAGAGGGGTGACCTCATCGACAGGAGGGTGGTACATCGGGCATTGGTCTCCGCAGCTGTTGAGGCGGCACGTGCGGAAGAGCGGTTGGACCACCTGGAGCTGTCGAACCGGACTCTTGACAAAGGCTTGCCAATCGCCAGGCAAGGCATCCTTGTATACCACAATCCGGACTGATTGGGTAGGAGTATGCTCAACTTGAAGGCTGGCATTCAAGTGTCTGGTGATTTGGCCCGTGCCGAGCTGGATGAGTGAGCCACTGACGAGGACTGACTCCTTTGTGGTGCAGTGGTGTGCCGGAAAGCGGAGATCCACGATCGGCAAGTTGCCGCGGGCATCAGTTGGCACCGGAGTTGTGGAGAGAAGGGCCAGTGGTTTTGTAGCAATGGCCTTGTCCTGTTGAAGGAAGGGGAGTGCCTCCTGCACAGTGCAAAAGGCAATGCCTTGCTGGTCCGGACCGACCTGCCTGAACGGTAGCATCATAGCGATGGACCCATCTGAACACTTGAAAGTGTCCGGGACGAGGGCAAGTTGCTGTGGGTCAGGAAGAACCAGGGCCGGCATGTTCCTGCCTGTTTTGTCAGGCTTGGCTTTGCGATTCGAGGGCTGAATCCTGAACTGCGACTGTGCTGAGGTGCGCATTTTCGCCTCCAATTCGTCGTGTTTGATCCACATGAAGGCTACCTTCGAGGCAACAGCCTTGAGATGGGCCCAAGGGTTTTTACCTGCGAGGGCTTGTGTCATCTCTGCTGGGGGCAGGTGTCGGAGTGCAAGGTCGATCCTTTCTTCAACCTTGTCATCGGGAACACCCTTGTCCACCAAGAGGGCAGAGAGTGTTTGCCGGGCCGGATTTGTGAGCGGGCCACAGCCGAAGGGACCAAAGCCGTGAAAGGAGGCCTGGAGCAAAGTTGTCAGGCCGACGGGGTCCTCAGTGAAGCCCGAGCCATCCAGGCCAAGAGCAACCGCCAGATGAGCTAGCATGACACATCCACAAGTGGTGGATTCAAACTGTTGGAAGTGGCGGCGCATCGTGACCAATGGCGTTGGCAGCTGCCAGTAGCGTGCCAGCATGGAGACAAGCTGAGTAGCTTCCGAAAGTGGCACAGAGAAAAGGCCGTCGTAACAGAGAGCCTCGAGCTGGTTCTCATCAAGTCGTAGATGAATCAAGCACCAGTGGCCCTGTGCCGCGAGCGGGATGAGACATTCCCTGGGTGGACTGGTTGGGATGGCTACAATGCCAGCATTGTGCAGCACAGCATGGGCTGTCCAGGGATTGATGATGAGAGGACTCCGTGGTGAGTGGTCCTGCAGGAGAAGGGAAACTGGCCAAATGTGGGAAGCTGCAAGGCCCGGTTGGTGGGTGGTAGAGAGATGGGTAGTGGTAGTGGGCAGCCCAAAGACAATGGGATCGTAGAGGAGAAAGATGCCGGATGTCCACAAACGCTGGTCAGCCGGTTGCTTGCTGCCATCCAGTGAGTAGATCGGGATGCCGTAATGCCACTGTGGGAAATCCCAAAGTAGCTGGAAGAGGAAAGTGCCAGCAGGCACACAGTGCACGAAGGGGCCATGCTCAGTGAGGATCTGAACGCAGAGCGACGAGGGCGGCTGTGGCAAGCTGGCCTTCTTGGTCTGCAAGACCAGGTTGTAAGGCCCATGCCTGCCCTGCGCATGAAGGATGGCCTCCTGTGAGAGCACGTGCTGGCCATCGATGACCCTTGGGATTGTCCCCCAGGGTCGCCATTTGTGCTCAGCCTGGAGCAGGTCTGCAAGTTGTAGTAGCCCAGTCCTTGAGGTAGGGATGGGTGTGCCCTCGTGGTGAATGCAGATGGGCGCATCATTGTGTGGCCTGTAGAGGCCAGAGATGGTGCCGATCAAAGAGCAGGTGCTGCTTGAAGTCCCTGAGGGCATGCTCAGGGGAGGGTAGTACACTCCTGCTGGGAGCTTCATCGACGGCAAAAGCTTGGAGGAGATGGCCGATGACCCAGAGTGCCTGCAGGGGTGATGCCACCTGTCCCAGCAAGCAGAGACTGAGCAAGGGGTCATCACACAGGCGAAGTTGGGCTGGTATGGCCAAGAGGAGAGCCATCTCCTTTGGGTGCAAGTATCTGAGTTGATCCAAAGCCTGAGAAAGGACAAGGATGCCCCGAAGACCGCCGGTGCGAAGCCTGTGCAGGGTGAAGGGACCTGTGCGGCAACCACAGGGGCATGCCGAGAAGGCACATCCATAGGAGTGGAGGAGTGTGGGGCAGAGGCCCGTAAGCACAAGTTGCCGTTGATCGCTGCCGAAATCCGGGTCCTGAAAACACTGCAAGGCAAACTCCGAGGGGACCAAGCTGGTTTCCACATCACGGGTCCAAGTGGGCCATTCAGGGATGGCCGATCGAACCTGCTGAAACTCATCATCAATTGGCCATGGAACCAACAGGGAGAGGTCCAACCGGAGGGGTGCCAACACCACCCACCACCTAGAGCGGCGAGAGGGCCATTGGTGGTGCAAATGCAAGACCACGTCCTTGATCTGAAAACCCATAGCTGATGCCAATTGCAAAAGTGCGGTCTGTACTCCTGTGCAAAGTTTAGCACCTGGGACACATTCGAGGATGAGACCACGCGCCTGCATGCAAAAAGCACTCCTGAGAATACCCAAAAAGGCCAAACTGCGACTGTCCGACATGGCGCGTCCATCGCCCTGCGTTGAAAAAGGCTGGCAAGGAAATCCGGCAGCGAGAAAAGCCGGGAGTTCCGGGTGTACCTCGTGCAAAGCATGGGTGGCCTTCCAGTCGGTGATGTCCATCTCCAACACACAGGGTGAGTGGTTTGCCCTCAAAACCTCACAGCAGTGGTGGTTCTTGTCCAACTGGGCCAGGACCCGGGCTCCGAAGGGCAGGGCACCAATGCCGATGCAGCCAATGCCCGCACAAGCCTCCTTCAGATACCTTCCTGTATTGTCCTGAACTGCATGGGGAACAAGTCGGGTGTGCCTATCTGGTGAAAGGGTCGGTCTGTCATCCTTCAAAAGCACCGGGACAAAGTAGATCGTTGCAGTCTCTCCCACAAGAAGCAGATCTTCCGGAATCCCAATGTGCTGAAGGGAGTGCATCACCACCGCGGTGTTCACCCCAATGCCCCTGATGGCGCCCGAAAACCTGGAGCCCACCGACGGGTTGTCCAGCCAACTGATGCGATCCGCATGGGCCATGGCACGGTGAACCACCCTCTGGCGTTCGGCTGACGTAGGCTCACCAGCCTACAAGCATTTAAACAAACAAATCCATCCCCCTTTGGCTTCCTGGGCAAATCGACAAGTATATGGCTGTTTAGCACCGACTCCGTACCCGCCCAACAAGTTTTGCTGCTTCTGCTGGCCCTCATTCGATGTTGATCGATGTCCACATGAGGTTGGTTCAAACCTAACCCCCGCCCCCTCCTGGGAGTTTAATGGGGATGCTCCCAACCCACACCTCGTGGGTGCGCAGCACTGGGGTTCCGAAACAAAAAGAGTAACAAAGAAAACCTTGTGTCAGCTTCCCTCTTGGTGGTTTGGAGCCCGCTTTGGAGGTTGGGTGACTTGCCTTGAAGAGAAGGGGTTCAAACTCCAGACCACCAATTCGAGGCGTGCCTGATATTCAAGGCCTAATGTTGACACTCGATTAGTAAAGGGTACCGGAATAATAGAAAGTTTTTTTCCTTATTATGGTTCACACCCATTGTTTAAGGGGACCAGAATAATAGAAAGTGTTTTTGGCCAGGGGGAAAATTCAAAAACAAAATCCACAAAGCAAATTTATGTAAAAAACAAAACATCCCCCCCCCAAACAATCACCCAAAATTCATGTTGACCCCAAAATCCAGCCAGCTGAAACTCAGAAATTTGAAAACCATCCCCAGCCCTGAAACTGAAACTGCAAACTCTTTATTAAACCGTGCTAAAAAATTGCAAAAAACAATCAGGACAAGGGTACCCCTCACAGACCCCACAGAACCACAATAATGTGATTGTTTTAGGGTACCACAATAATAGCAAGCCCCAGCCCCCCCTCCCAGAAAATACACTATCAGTTGCTTTGCTCAAAAGCATTCCCCTTTCAATTGGTGGCCCACTTGCTTAAAAGCATTCCCCTTTCATTTGGTTGCTCAACCACAGAACCCAAAGCCAGCTGAAACTCTGAAATTTGAAAACCATCCCCAGCCCTGAAACTGCAAACTCTTTATTAAACCGTGCTAAAAAATTGCAAAAAAAACATTCAGGACAAGGGTACCCCTCACAGACCCCACAGAACCACAATAATGTGATTGTTTTAGGGTACCACAATGATGGCAAGCCCCCAGCCCCCCCTCCCAGAAAATAAACTATCACTTGCTTTGCTCAAAAGCATTCCCCTTTCAATTGGTGGCCCACTTGCTTAAAAGCATCCCCTTTCAATTGGTGGCACACTTGCTTAAAAGCATTCCCCTTTCAATTGGTTGCTCAACCACAGAACCCAAAGCCAAACCCCCAGTTGACAAGAAGTGGTTGCAATACTAAAGTAGAATTGCAAAAAGGAAGTGGCTGCAATACTAAAGTAGAATTGCAAAAAAGAAGTGGCTGCAATACTAAAGGAAGTGGTTGCAATACTAAAGTAGAATTGCAAAAAAGAAGTGGCTGCAATACTAAAGGAAGTGGCTGCAATACTGAAGTAGAATTGCAAAAAAGAAGTGGCTGCAATACTAAAGGAAGTGGCTGCAATACTAAAGTAGAATTGCAAAAAGGAAGTGGCTGCAATACTAAAGTAGAACTGCAAAAAGGAAGTGGCTGCAACACTAAAGTAGAATTGGGCCCCAAAACCCTCCATTGTTTGGACGTCCCAAAAGTGCACCCCCATTATTTTGGCGCCTCCATTGTTCAGGGGGGGGGGGGGGGCAAGAGGAGTGGCTGCGCCGCACCGATTTCTGCTTGGGACTGACCCGAACCTTCACTTACCCGAGTTATATGTTATTTTGACTCACACTTGCACCAGGACAGGTACGAGTTGATGCAAGAGCAAGAGGACCTCTTTGAGCGATCTTCTACCCCTGTTGGGCAACCCTTTGAAACCAGGGCTCCTTCAACAGAAACCCAGCTTGTGAACAAAACCAAAAGGGTCATAGTCTGAAGCAACTTGAAAGGTCCTGGTTTTGACGTGGTTCTGAGGTGAAAGACCCTGCCAGCATTTGCAAAAGCCGTGCGTCCGCCTGGTCTGCTCTTCCTCCAAGTCCTGCGGCATGGTGGCCCTTGCTGCAAACCAAACCAAACCAGCCCAAGCCAAACCAACCAACCAACCAACCAAACAAAGAAACAAAGAAACACAGGCAAGCAAGCAGGGAGGCAAGCAAGCAAGCAAGCAAGCAAGCAAGCAAGCAAGCAAGCAAGCAAGCAAGCAAGCAAGCAAGGAAGCAAGCAAGGAAGCAAGGAAGCAAGCACGCACGCACGCACGCACGCACGCACGCAACACATACACACAAAGAAGTGTCGTGCTTACGGCGAAGGACAGTTTCCGACTTTAAGACCTATCCTATCCGACATCATGGGCCATAACGAGCAATGTGAAGGATGTAACTGTGCCATGTCCTTCTCTTCCCTAATTAGCCCCTCTCTTCCCAATCCCCAAGACTCGCACCAAGACCTTGATGTTTACAGCCCTCTATAAAGCCAAACCCAACAAAGCAACAGTGCTGGCTTCCTTTAGCACGTTTCCCACAAGGATCCCCGTTCTTGCCAAATGGCGCACAGTATGTGCCAGGGTCAAAGCTGCTCATGAGGGTCATGTCAGATTCCTTTGGAAATTCGTGTGATGCACATGGCTCATGCCCATCCGGGCCTTTAAAGGGAAGGGGCGACTCGGTCACACCGAAGACCAGACCAGTAAAACCCCAGCTTGCTTTCTACCTACCTGGATCGACAGGTGTTTTTTTTTGTTTTTTTTGTTTTTTACCCCAGCATTGTGTCTGATCTTTAGGCAAAGATTCTGGAAAAAGCAGATTCAACATTTACAAAGGCGGCCGTACCTTATCAATACTTTTGTGGAGGGACCTGGCTTGCCCCCAGAATTAAATAACACGGGTTATACGGCCCGCATGACTAAAAAAAGCCAAACCGACAGTTGACGAAAACACAACTTCAGGAATTCCTCTACTCACCCACTGCCCTCAAGCCCCTGCGGCTCTCCTGGCGCAAGCGCAGCATCTCTTGGGAGAGCCAATCAATCTGCTGGACAGCCTGAGCCGGGCTTGAAGCCTGGGCTATTGTAACTGTATTTGTTCCATGCTTTGTGGTTTCTCATGGTGTCTCCTGACCAGCTGAGTTGACTGGTCAAAAAAGCCATATTTTGGGACTGTCACTCGAATGAAAAAGAAGCCTGCCAACGCAAGTTGAAGTTTGCCGCCACAACCAGGAAGTCTCAAAAGAACGATGGGCAAAATCATCACGGGCTGGACGGTGTGGTTGGCTTCTGTGGTCCGAGTTCCCCTGAAATGGGACTCACCAGGGCTTCAGCAACTCCTCAACTTGAAATGACCAAATGCCGACCGTGGCACGGACTCAGACCCTACCTACTGAAAATGTTGTTGGTGCTTGGGGGGACCGACCCCCCCCCCAAAAAATATATATATATATAAATATATATATATATATATATATTTGTGGTTTTCCCTTTGCAACCCCACCCAACGGCATCAACCACATTACCCTCCCTCCCACTAACATAGCACCTGCGGGAGGATGAATTTCCTCTTGAAGCGACTTTGTGTGAGGTGCTATGTTAGTGGGAGAGAGGATATCCTAAGAAGTTGGTAGATCCAAAGGCTCGCCTTGCGAGGGGCCCAAAACTGAACGGAGATCCCGAGATCCCTTGCCCCTCCAATGCAGTCTCTTGATGCTTACTTGGGTGTTCGGCCAGGCGAGTAACTGGTTAGTAGCCTAGGCTATGGCCTGATGAGTGTGCCCCACGAGAAGTTGGCGTTCCCCCTTCACTGGTGGGTTGAAGGGACTCCTCAGTTTCCGACTCTAACAACCCCACAACTGGTCACAATAATCAGCTCAGTACCAACCACTAACTCGGCAACGAGCACACAAGTTTCCAGGGGTTGATTCCCCATTCTTTCCTGGCATCCGGCTTTTCAGGAACCATCAAAAAAACCGAGGGAAACGGCTAGTTGTTGAAAGAACGATGGTTCAAACAAATGCGGAATCAACCCCTAGAAAGTAGGGGTAGAAAAACCCCTCCGAAAGTCCCGAGATCCGGGCCTTCGCAAGGTCCACTCGCAACCGCTCGCACTCCTGGCGAATAAATTGAAGAATCCACATGGACCAACCCAAATGGGTCGGAAATGGGTTGCAAGCCTCACTGGGCAGTCTCTGGTTGGTTAGAACTGCGATTAACTCAACCTCCTCAATGGGGCTACTAGCTTTGCAACCCTATTTACAACCTAATCAGGGCGGCCAAACAAGACCATACAACTCGGAATCCCCATGACATAAAAGGAGAACCGCCCCTGCATATTCCTTCGGATGAAATCCGAAGTGGGCATCGTGGACAAATCACAACGAGCTGAGCTGGAGTAAAATAAGAGAGCCTTATCTCACGTCCTGAATAGATGGCCCAAGAAAGTGTGAACTTGTTGTTTATCACTCAAAAGGTCTTCCCAAGAAGCTTTTAAAGTCCAAGAACTCAGGAAGCGAGTTTTACAGCGGCCCCCTGATTTCCGTTTGGGAACTCCAAGCGGTTCTTTCAGTTTGCCTTGCATACGTAGTTCGCGTGGCTCTTCTCTGGCATGTGCTGTCCCCAAGCCAATCTTAAAAAGAACACACACACACACAACGCCGCGCTTGGGGTGCTGTCAAGACAATGGCCCTTTTTGGGACCTGGTGCCGCCTCGTGCCGCCTCTTGAAAAGAGGATCCCCAATTTTGAGAAACCTTCATACAGACTCCTCCTTTTAGGTGGGGCAAGTAGGACGTTAGGTAGCAGATAACTAACAAGGGAACCACTTCTCAGAGTCCATGACGTTGTTGAACTCGCTACTGCACTCCTCTTTGGGATTCCATGTTAGTTTGCAGGAGTGTAGCAATCGAGTAGGACCCATGCAATGCATTGTTTGGTAAGTAGTCCCCGAATGTTGAACGTCGGTTCTTGTTGGGTGCCCAAGCAGCTGGTACTCCAGTAGAGAGGCTGCAATAAGGGTACCTGTTTTTCTGTAGTCTATTTTAGCAGGGGAAGCCTCCCCAAAAAAGGGTAAAAAGGCACTACTGGGAGACCTAGATTCTGTTTGAACAGGGCTGTTCCATGGGGGATCCCCTGCTCCTCATCCATCCGCAGTGCCAGTTGGCATGAGGATGAAGGATTGACTTTGACGTTGCAACGCAGGCCATTCGTCCAACAACCTTCTGGTTTCCCTCTGCTTCCATTTGCCTAAGTCCCCTGCAAACACAAAAACACATATTTTCAGTAGTGATAGATTCCCGTTAAACAAATCTGGGAACAAATCAACATATTCAGCAAATGGAAGCTTGAAGGCCGCTCTGGTTCAAGCGGCTTTCGCAACCACTCCTCTTGCGCCTCTGCACGGGACACTTTGGTGCAGACCTCAGCGCGACAGCTCTGAGCACGGCGGCCGAAGGTGACGGGTGAAGACATCCCTTTTACAAGGGTGCAATAATGAAAACTGAAAAGGGACAGGAAGACCCTTTCTATTTCTTTTTCTGTATGAGTGTAGAAAACAACATCGGACTTTCATTCGGCACATGCTTCTAATTTCCGGCTGTTGCCGAAACATTGATAAACAAAACGCAGATCAAACCCAAAGAACAACAACCCCCTCCCCCCTCCATATCCTTCGCGTTCTCAAAGGTTTTGCCATGGATAGGCTCCACTCGCGCTGAGGGCCTTGCACAAGGTGCATTTCAAAGAGGTAAACTTCTGAAGCAGACTCGTGGGTTTTTTCGTGGGCTCGGTTTAAAATGGAGGGGACCCCCATGGTTGGCTTCCTTTTGCTTTCCTTGTCAACCATGAAACAAATCAAGACAAAGCTTGCCGCCAAACCACTCGGAAGCAGCCAAGGTCCTGGGAGCCTGGGAAGCTGTGCCAAACCGCTGGACAAATACTCAGCACCCCTGGGAAAATTATGCTGCCTCATGGAGAATGGTCGGCGCATTCTCAGTTCATTTCGCTGCACATGAGCTTAGCACATTTCCACAACCACTACTAGGTCCTCCAGTAGAGATGCTAGAATAAGGGTGCCCTTTTTTTCTGTAGTCTACACTTTAGTAGGGGAACCCTCCCCCAAAAAGGTTGGTAAAAGGGCACTACTGGGGGACCGAGACTAGGAAGATGTGCCAAGGCTGTGAAGATCTGCCGATGCAACTGACCCGCCTGGGGCGCCCGCGGGCGCTCGGAGAGGGCGAGGCTTGGGGTTGCCGTGAAGCCAACTGGGCGGATCAGAATCAAATCCGATGCAAGGAAAAAGAGGGTGGTTTTGGTGACTTTCTGCGTCTTCCTAGTGGAAAACCACAGTTGTTCGTGGCTTTGGTTATCCATATTCCGTAAGCAAAACCACTGCGAAGGACCAAAGTCCAAAGTCCTTTCATAACCAGGCCCATGGCCAACACGCCGCTTGAGGAATCTTCCCTTGTCCACTTTTGGGGCATATGAAAAAAAAGGCATCCGGAGAGACCGGATTTCCCCTTCAAAAGTGGGTTGGCTGGCTGGTGTCCCTTGAAATGGCCACTTCTAATCTTTTGGCCCGAGAAACTCCTGGAGGTTTCACATCTCGCGTCCGACTGAACCTCCGAGGGGCGACTGAACATGGCCAAAGGTCAGATCCGGTCGAGGCGCGTTGGGCAAGTGAGCTACAGGGGTTGCAACAGGAAAACACATAAACCTAGAAATCACCCCGATGTCGAAACCAGTTGAAACAACTGGCAAACATGGTGCTTATCCAACATGTATCCTTTGAGAAAGTCTGTACAAACTCTCGTAAAATCAAGAATAATAACTTACTACAACGGCCAATGGTCGGTTTTCGGCACTGCTCACCTATCCTGTATCCAAGAAAAGCTCAAACACCATTCCTTGCGGACAAATGGGTTCGATCATTGTGTGTTTGGTTGGTGTCTTCCAAAGCGGGTCAAACGACCTCAGAGAGTGTAGCGTCGATCCGAGGGAGCACTGCATCGGCCAGGGCGCAACTTCCCGGAAAGTGATCCGGATCCCCTCTTAAATCTCTGTTTGCTTAAGTTCCACGGAAAAAAACATATTACCAGTAGTGATAGATTCAAGATACACCCCGGTCGAGATAGGAATCGACCGACCCTGGGTTTCCATTCTCTGAACAAATCTCTAAAACACATTACCTGAGCGCCATAGTGTGCCAGGTTTATTACTCCGAAACATTACACATGGGTTGGACACTTGTTGCTCGCCCTAGTAGCCTTTTTGCACGCCCCAGTAGACTTTTTGCGTGCCCCAGTAGACACAGCCATGGAAAGAAATCTGCAGAGAAACTTCCCAGGAACAACATGAACCCCAAAAAAACAGCTTGTTCTTGGACAGCTCTGGGAGTTTTGGGCATTTCACAGTTGTTGGAGGGGGCTCAACATGACGGCGGTTTGGGTTCCATGCAAATCCTTTGCCCCAAGTGAACGTGCTACTGGGGCTCTTAAACTCACTTGTGGGGTGGTTTCCATTGACGCCATTTAGAGGGAGGGACCCAGGTGGCAGGCTGGACGAAGTGTGTTCGAACTGCCAGACCCGGCCGAACCCAAAGGCGGCTGATTGAACCATGCGTGTTTGAACAACCTTCGTTTGCCCAAGTAAACTAGCAAAAACAAAGATCGATTCCCTGGAAAACCGAAAGGGGAACACGCAAAAATAATTCGTAGACAAGGCAAATGAAAGAGAAGGGGTGCTGACACGTCCTCGTTTGGGAGGTTCACAACTTTCATAGCCGAATCTGCAGAAATTCCCGCCTTGGTGGCGCTTGTGGCCGACCGGACCTGGCCATTGGAAAAACCGAACAGCGGTATCACAGTCACAGGTCACGGTCTCCCCCAAAGCGACCGGTTCACGCGTTAACGATTGAACCGATTTAGATGGCTAAGATTCCAATAGTTTTATAAGGAATTCCAGGAAGACCATGGGTCTTTGTCTCTATCTGAATCTGAATCCTTTCGAGATGAATCACATTCATGGCCTGACTTTGACTCGGATTAACCTGGTAGATACCAACACGGACAATCGGGGTGGAAGCGCGCTGTGGAATTGCCCGGCCGGCCTCGCGGGCGAACCAACACGACCTCCTCCGCCTCCATTTCGAGGTGCTTGCACGCCTTAGGCTCTCACGCGGCAGGGACAAAGTCTTCGTGCCAGAAGGGGCCCTTTTGGGCTTAAGCTTGAACCCAGGGGATTCACAGGGAAGGTGAAGCGTCTAAAATGGGAAGCCCCATAGAATCAACCAAAGGTTTATCATCAATCCTGTATGAAGGAAGGTTCCAAAGCCCCAAGGGAGCACGTAGCGGGCTCGCGCTTGTCTTGCCTTTTGCGCTGCAACCAGCGTCGAAACCATCCCAACAACTTTCGGGGACTCTCGCGAGTCCATGGCTCTCACCGTCCATTTGTCAACTGACGGGCACCTCACTTGGCACCCCAACCGACCCTTGGAGCTACCTACATCTCATCCAGGACTGCAGGAAACCGTTTGTTTAGAACATGGGCAACACATAAAGATTTCTACAGTTTCTTGAAAGAACAACGGGTGAACGTCCTGGGAGTAATACACATATAGAAATAAACTCTCACTCGAACAGGCATGGTTTTGCGCCCAGTCAATCGTTTTGGCATAGCTCCATCCGGCTCCTACACATTTGGCCAGCCCAACCATTTGGCCGATGAGGTGGCCCAATGAACATCATCACACTACTTGCCATATCAGTAGTATCGGAATTTGGCTTTACGCCATGTCTATTCTATGTGTGGTTGAGAGATGGCAGGAAAGAACATTCATTCCAGAATGGTTTGTACCCTTACTTCCATTTGCTTAAGCCCCCTGGAAAAAAAGTAAAAAATATGTCCAATAGTGATAAATTCCCTTTAAAATCAACAGGGCAAAATAACAAAAGTTCTTAAGCAAATGGAAGCTTAGGTCCAATTGGGGCTTGTGGGCCAGGCTTTCCAGCACATGCGCAGCTGGAGTCTCAAAAGCTTTCTGCGCCCCAAAGTCTATTGAACTCTTGGGCACCCGAGAACTGAGTGGGTTCGATGAAGTAGGCTCCAACATGCCCATGCGTCAAAATCCGGTACCCCCAGTGAACATCCCAATCCACACTAAAATAGACTAAAATGGGTGGTGCACCTCCCCAAAATGGTATTCCATTGGTTTTGACCCACAGCCACATCTGCTGGCGCAAACGATCAGAACCCGTTTAGTTGAACCCGGTTCTACCATATCCTCTCCCTATCCATCCAACAGTTCAACCCCATTCCCTTTGACTGCCCTCCAAAGAAAGGTACCCGACGTCTCCATGACCCTTAAACAATGGGTCCATACCCCTTTGTTTAGGGAAATGGCCAACCATTTAAGGGTCAAGGAGACTCCTGGTAGACCTTTTTAGACTACCTTGTTAGACATCGAGAGGAATGCAAGATCAACCATTTAAGTGTGTATGTGTCGAGGACCCCATGTTGGACCAGAAGGTAAACCACATTTGGCTCATTCCATCAAATTCCTATCCTAGGTCCTCCAGCAGAGAGGTTAGAATAAGGATACCCTTTTTTTCGGTAGTCTATTGTAGTAGGGGAACCCTTGAAAGGGTACTACTGGGAAACCTAGGTTCCAAAAGCATCGAGCGCCAGGACTCCCCACGTAGCGCTGTCCATCCGCGGCTGCGCGGGGTGACGCCATGCTCCTGCGGTTTAGATCCGGTGACCGGTGCCATGGACCCAAGCCGTGGGTTTTGTTCATGTATCTTGACAAAAAACCTGGTGGTTGATGCTAAGATCACCGTGTTCAGTCGGGGACATCATACCCTGTTAACAAGCTGGTAGTTGGAGTAAGCATATGTATAATATGTATATATATATATATGTATATATATATATATGGTACCCCCCCAAAAAAGAGCAAAAAAAACAGGTTTTGTGACAAAACACTTGTATTTACAGTGCTTTGTCACCACAACCTGCATCTGCCAGAACACACTTTTCAGGCCCACTGTCTGCATCTGTCAAAAACCTCTCATTTGGCAGCCAATGCTGCAACCAAGTACTATGATTGCGTAAGGGCATTTCTTCAAGGAAGCGCTTTGGAAACTGAAAAAGATGAGAAAACTGAAACAACTGAAAAACAAGCACAACAAAAAGCACATGCCTGGGGGGCCCATGTCCCCCTGAATCCTTTTTTGTGCTTGTTTTTCAGTTGTTTCAGTTTTCTCATCCTTTTCAGTTTCCAAAGCGCTTCCTTGAAGAAATGCCCTTACGCAATCATAGTACTTGGTTGCAGCATTGGCTGCCAAATGAGAGGTTTTTGACAGATGCAGACAGTGGGCCTGAAAAGTGTGTGTTCTGGCAGATGCAGGTTTTGGTGACAAAGCACTGTAAATACAAGTGTTTTGTCACAAACCCTTTTTTTTGGGAGGGGGGGGTACCATATATATATATATATATAATAGTATACGAGCTATGCATGCATATATAGGTAGATACTTCTATGTTTACAGAAATACATGGTGATTATAGTTATCCAGTGATGGACAGTCTCCTGCAAAACCCATTTGTTTGGAACCAAAAGGCATGTCGAAACACATCAGCCATGGGCGTTTCATTACAAACTTCAGATGGATCGATTCGGCCCCTATGGATTCATCGATGTGAAGGTTTCCGCAGAACATGTTTATGTTGACAGTTGGTGACGCTGCTATCTAGCCAACGGGCAGTAGCACTTTCATTCAAAGGAGAAACTCGGGTAAAACTCCGGCTTTGACGCCACACAGAATCGGCTGCTCAAAAGGCGACAGAAGTTATCAACTTAACTCTCCCAAAAGCTGTCATGCTGTGCTTTCTGATTCTATCTTTGGGGCTGAGTTTGTGAAAATACGTGCGCAGTCAAAGAGTGGTTTCAGTGCAAAGTTGCAACACGCAAGTTCGGAAAGGGGCCGTTTACCCAAAGGCTACGATGCAGCCGGCATGCAGGCCGATCCCCCATGCTCACCCAGCGTTCCTTTCACAACCTGCTGCAGGTCCGCGATGTTTTGTAAATGTTCGAGGTATCCTTGAAGGAAACAGGGAATGGAACCCTGAAACTCGTTTCCCACCTCCCAAATGTGCCACATGCAAAATAATGTTGTGAAACATGGCAATGTGTCCTTTGTTAAGAAGCTATACTGTGGATGGACAAACTGCACTAATCAATTGGCAGGTCAATCCCCGTATCTATAGGGTTTCATCCATCCCAACTGGTGCAGGACTTTGTCCATCCACTATATCATGGCAGTTCCAAATCTCTGCCCCAAGCGAAAGCTTTGTGGAAGGCACGAAACCCCGTTGGCCATTTGAGCAGATGGTTCTACTACCTCGTTTCACGTGGTTTTGAGTAAGGCCCACAAACCTTTATAACAATGTATTCTCTCGTGACAATACCTGTGGTTTTGCTAGTTTGGCCGTGTCTCTAACAATGAACGCCCCTAATGATGAATCTAAATCTACTCCTGGGGGGGGGGGGGGGCGGAGAAAAAAACACGTAGCTTGATGATTCCCGCAACCTTGCACAAAGCAACTAAACTAGCAAACATCAACTTGTTGCAAGGGTTCTAGGACCAGTGAGGATCAAACTTGAAGTCTTCGTTGGCGAGGGCCCCAAGGGGCCGCCCTGATGGGCTAACATGTGTGGTACTCTATGCAAGGGCATTGCAGACTCACACGATTTCCCCACAAGCACCAGTTGCATCACGAACTTTGCCTATGAGCCTTCGAAAGACGCCATCTTAATACGGATGTGGAGATCCCTCATTCCTCCCGGGAAGGCAAGTGAGTAGCACTGATTATGGGGAATCAGTGAATCGGTGAGAAAAACACTCCCGCAGACTAAAAGCCGGATCCCCCCAATTGGCCTCCGCAAATGGGTCACCAAGTTTTCACTTTCGGGGTGGGAGCTTCCATGGAATCGCCGAAAAAGGGTAATGTTGACCAGGGTGTCCCCGATTTTAGTGGGGATTTATCACTTTTGGAGGGGAACACCCCCATATGAATAAGTTCAGGGGTCTATACAAATCCGGGGTCAACATTACAGCTCAACGGCAGGATGGCTTTCATTGAGTGCTCGATTTGGACCAAGGCGTTTCACCGCTCCCGCCTTTGAATTCGACCTTGCCGTCGCTCGGCCTGGGCTGGGCAACCCGTCGTCTCGTTCGCCCCAACTCTTCCGATTGGTGCGTCGGTATGTGTCGAGATTGCGTGGCACCACCCCCCCCCCCCCGAGAAAAAAAAACAAACAAAAAAAACAACGAAGAATGTGGTTTTCTTTCTGGTTCTGGCTGGCCTCCAATCAAACCCCATCCCCAACACAAAGTGGTTTTCCATAAACAACAATGCGGTTTTCCTTCTGCTCACCCCAAGAAGGGCACCCTAAAAAAGAAGCCAAGTGACCATTCACCAGAAGCCATCGGTACGGGAACTTTGCCATTGGGGCAGCGTCTGTGGGCTTGTCTCTGAAGTGAATATGGAGCCCCCCCCCCGAAGTTGATTTTTTGCGTGTGGTCTTCCATTGGTTTCCCGGAACATCGCCTAAACAAGAGCTCCCTGAAAAAAGACACGCGAACACCAGAGGGGCACCCTAGGGAGGGTATTCATCAAGGATTCCCTTACACGAAGCCCTGGCGGTTTTTGTCTCGCGATCCGGATCACTTGTTGGAGAGGAGTCGACATTAGCAAGCTTTCGCCACCAAGAAGCTGGTTCTTGCAGGCCTCCTGCAGGACGGAGGTGCCTTTTGATAGGTTTGGCGGTGTGTCAAATAGTGATCCTCTCCAAATGATCGCTTTCATCTATGCCCAAAAGGCCGTCCCGTTTTGTGGGTCCGGGGTTTGGACACCTACCTCTTCACTTCCCTCTGTGCTAAATAAGAAATCGACTACCCAAAGGGCTCCAAAGGGCTACCGGTGGAATTGGGCCCTCCAAATGGGCCCTTTTGAGACCTCAGTCAGACCCGGACAGCTGGCGCAGAGCATGGATGTGGATTGAATCAGCTCAAATGTGTGTATATATATTATAATATATATATATATATATACATAAGTTTTTCAGTTTTAAACTATCACACAACTAAACCCGGAAAACATATATAAAACATATTTCCAGTACTAATAGATTCCCTTTAAAACCAACAAGGGGAAACACATATATATATATATACACTAAAAAAAAAAAGTCTTAACCAAATGGAAGATCAAAAGAAAGTCACGACTTTTCAACGGTCACAAGGAGACTCCAAATAGTTGATGTCACAGGAAACCCTGCGCAAAGAAAATAAATCTACACGCACCACCGGAGGCCTGACTTGGTTCACGTTGAAAGGGGAGCAAATAAATAAAATTTAGCAGTTCAGTGGGGTGTTCTCACTAAACCACAATAAGCAAAAATGAAAAATGTTTCCAACAAGAACCATGGAACAAGCAAAACATCCATCAATGCTTCAAAGTCGCTTTCCTCTTCCTCGAGCACCTGAAGGACTCGCGTGCCCAACATGCATTCTGGCGTTGTTTGGACTTTTGTTGCCACCAAAAGGCTGACACAGCCCAAACTCTTTGGGAAGTCTTTGGGGGTTCCTACAAAATCGGACAATTTGCTGGACGTTGTTTGTATTCAACTAGTTCATGCTCTGATTGCTAATCTGGGTGCCTTGTGTTGTTGTTTTCTGGCTTTTTCAAGGGGACACCAAACAGAAACAAAAATGAATCCTGAGGGTTCCATGTCCCATTCTGAGACAAACCTATATGTGCCATGAGTGTGTGTTCGATGTTTCCAAAAAGTCGAGAGGTCGGCTTTGATTCGGTCGGGTGATCAGTGCCCTCCCCGGGGCTTCTTTCATCCATCGGACACGCCTGGGGAAAAAAACACAACAACGACGAAATCCCGTGGTGGATTCCCCAATAAGCCCAACAGGGGGAAATAAGCAAACCATACTCTGAAACGCAAATGGAAGCCAATGGAAGCTTGCCTTGTAGCGAGGTGTAAAGGGAACCTTAGGAAAGGTCACCTTTAGAGGAAGCCAGGATTAAACCTCTGGTTGACTTTGATACGGAGGTGTCCCATCTTAGTATACATGTTATTCAGCTTGTGTACTATCTTATCTGTTTTGAACAGCTGGTATTAAACATATGTATAGTGAATATGATAATAACTTGAGCTATCCAATGCATAATACAACTCATGGTTTGGGGAAGCACCCCACGTTTTCTCCGCCAGGTCGATCAGCCCGGGCCGATAGCTTTTCAACCAACCGTTTGACAAAGGTCTCTCAGCAACTGCTTTTTCACGCACCCGAACGCCAACCACAAAGAAACGCAGATCAATGCAAACGAGGCCTGGACAAAGACCATCTTCTTCCTTTTTAAGAGACCCTAGGTCCTCCAGTATTAGAATGAGGGCACCTTCTTTCTTTGTGGTCTATTTTAGCAGGGGAACCCAAAAAAAGGGGTAAACAAGGCCACTACTGGGGGACCTAGGACCACAAGGACAACCATTCATTCTTCAAGGTTTGGGGTTTCTCCATGCTTAGAGTGGTCGGTTAGCAAATATTTGCTAGTTGACCACCCCCTCAAACATGAATAAGAGCCAACAACGGCAAAGAAGCGAAGAACTAAAGGACATACCAAGAACCTGTCCATAGAACAAATACATGACAACTTGTTCAACTGTTTCTGTACCCAAGGGCTTTTCACCTTCTCCAACCTAAGAGTTGGGACAGTTGTTTAGAGGGGTGCTGGTTGTGAAACAACTGGTTGCTTTGCAAAGACGCCCTCAAACAAGAGAAAGGCAAGGGACAACTACACACAGCCTACAACAACTTCAAGGCACATCCCATGTGCAAAACCTTAAGAGCTCAGGCGCGATCTGCGACCACGCGATGCGCAGGGCCATGGGGTTAGACGCCTTCAGCCCTGAGCAACAGGGGCGATGTGTTTTCACGGAACCCCCCCCCCCCCACACTCAAAGTGTGGGTTTTTGCGTGGGTTCCCTGTAGCGACAAACAAGGGGTACCCTTTCAAAGCACACACCCACACGTGATGGTTCACCATAGTAACTGGGCGTAGCCATATTCATATGAGCCATGGTCAAAACTTAAAACTTGTAGATCATGGTCATCTTGTGTTCAATATAAGTCAAGTTTGTGGCTGTCCAAAACCCCCTTTGTAAGGGGTGAACAACCAGACTTATCAACGACAAGCAACACGGCCTTCTGACCATGGCACATGTTCTTTCCAACCCCAGCTCAAACTATAACCATGGTAATAGCCTGGGGACCTAGCTTGGAGTGGGATATCCAAGCATCTGGGCGGCGGTCAGATTACCACCCAAGCAACGGGATCCCAATACAGGGAAGCTTCACGGGTGAGTTTGCAAATCAAAACTCTTTCAACTGGCCGAGAGAGACTATTCTTTCTGATCCAAGCGCATTGAGGAAAATCACCCTTCCTGTGACTACTTTATCACTTCAAAGGGGGCTTTCCTTGGTATCAAAAAATTCGGCCGAGCCCATTTCCACAAACTATGGCAGCAACCCTAAACAAACAACACGCATTTGGGTGTGTTCATGTCTAGGATCTGGACCCCCAAAATGTCCTCGGGTTTCCTGTTGGTTTCCCTTTACACCCAGAAGAAATGAGTACCCTCAAAAGACCAGCCACCCTTTCGTAGTCACGAAGACAAATTGTAGCCGGCTGTGCAGAATTTGGTGCGAAATTCCATGTCTCCGTGCCCAAATCGGCAAACCACTGCAAGAATAACACTGGCTCCATTAAACTTCCAACCACACAATTGCCCTCTAAACGGTGTTTAAACGGAAACCACGCCAAACGTATCTGTGAGAACCCCTCAAAATGTCCACTTAAAGGAACCCAGTAGTGGCCATTGCTCTCGAGGTGTGTGCTTGCGCATAAACCAAGTCCAAGTGGGAACGTCAAACACTTCTGGGATGCTATGCCAATATGCTTATCACAGGTGCCACCTCTAGTGGCATGCTTGTTCCGGGGACTGAAGGGACTGGAAGACAAACACAGGCAACACTATAGTTGTGTCCTCGTGTTTATATATATGCAACACGTGTTTACATGAGCGAGCCTTTTCGAAGCCACTTACAGTTTCTGATTAGGCCAAAGGAAGCCACTTGAAGACAAAAGGGACGAATCCTGACTTCCTCTTAGGAAGCCAAAGGTATGTGAGCATGTGAGAGATCATGTGACTTTAAACGTGGCATGGTCAAAAGGCCAGCTTACCTGGGGTTGGTAGGGATGGATGGACCCCTTGTTATCAGCTTGCCTCTGATTCTTGGATTGGATTTGCGGTTTGGAGGTGAGGGGTGGTTTCCCATTTATCCTCTACAAGGACCAAAGGTTCAAATTCCGAAGGCACAAATCCAAACCACCAACCAAGGGAACCTGTGCGGTTGCTAATTGTTCAGAAATAACAAACCGCCCGCCCCGGTTTCCTTCTGGGGGGGTCCCCTAAAAGTACTACCGCCCCCCCAACCGCACCACCCTGGAGAAGACAAACATAGACCAAAGCTGGGTGTGTGTTTGTTTGCTACTCCGGATGGACAAAAAATCCATGCACCAGCTGGCAGGTTTGGTCCTACTCATGCTCCACCCCAGGTGCAGGCAGGACTTGGTTCATCCACAGCGGCTTTAGAAAGAGCCTGAGAGTCTGCAAGCTTTCCTACAACTCAAGCCGAATTAAAGGATCCCAAGTCCAGGGCCTTTGTCATGATCCCAACTCCCGTCCGGGACTCCCGCCTCGCGGCAATCCGCCGGGCCGCTGAGTTCTGATCCGACCATAAGAGGGCTGCGGCAGGCTGACACATGAGACATGGGCGGAAGACCCCCGAACAAACATATACTATATATATATACATATATATATATTTATTTATACATGTATATATATATATTATATACACATACATACGCGTGATGTAGTCATGCATGCCTTGGGTTCGTCCCAACATCAGGGCACCACCAAAATCGTCGCCTTATGCGGTTCGCCTTTAAACTAAGCCAAAAACAGGGTTCCCCAACAACGACATGCCCATCAAACTATATATATATATACGCACATATCTATCTATCCAGTTTTCCCTCCATCCATTCATTTTTGACATGGTGTGTCTCAAGGCAAAAGGGCAGCCAAGTATGCCAGTGGCGAATGATCCTGGTTCGACCTTGAATCATCCCATCCCTTCCCCAAAATCGCTGGTGTCCTTTTGGCTTCTCTTTAAACCACAAGGAGTACACCAAATAAACACCCACCCGGATCCCTGCACATTGGATTGATTGAAAGATTAAAAATAAAGCTACCACATCCCCACACGCAAATCACTGGCCCACTCGATGGGCATCTGCCAGAGCGAATTGCTGGTTTGAAAAGTAGGGCATCAATTAGGGGTTAAAGAAAGCCACTAAACACACCCGAAGCCTACCGAAAACCAACTCCTCCCCAACCCAAACCGCACATCGGCTGCCAGGACTGGTTCAGCTTGGGGTCATTCCAACTCAACGCCTTTCGAGCCGCGCGACATTCGAGCGCACCTGGTACCCCCGAGTGCATTCCGACTTCGTGAAGAAGTCTCCCGACCTGCACGCAGTCACCGGATGTGCAGGACTGAAATGGAACAAATCTGAGGACCCGCCGTCTGCTCTTGCCGGCTCTGGGACATTGAGGCTTGTTTGAGCGCATCTCCTCTGGACAGCGGTGTCCATCAAGAGTTGTGTGGGCATAGTTGCACGCATTGGATTGTCCAAGCCATTGGTGTGGGTGCTTAGATTCTTCCGAGAATGCACCTTGGAGAGTGCCAGGTTAAATGCATGAAGTTCATTCGTAAAAAGCTGTCTATCAGCCTCAGTATTCAGTCGAGTGCATGTGAGCCATGGTCAATTCTACTGAGCCGTACACCAGGGTTTCCAAGGAAAACCCAAAGGCTAGTATTGCCATAGAAAAAACGCTTTCAAGAAATACCCTAAACAAACAGCAGTCCTTCCAGTTGCCACTATAATAGGTTCCACGAGAACCCCTGTATAAAAAGCTACGGGGGGGGGAGACCCTTTCAGGGCTGGCCTTCCACCATAGCGATCCAGGAGCTGCTCGATATGCACCACCTCCACCGGGTACCTGACGACTTAAAGGAGAATTCAGCCAGGATATGGACCGCAGATTTGAGTCTTTGGTTCCATCCAGGGCAAGCCATTTAGGGGTTACCCTATTTTTGACATCCACAGCCATATGGGTGTGTCTGTTGTTTATGGGACCGCCCCGGCAAAAACAGCTTCTGTTTTCTCGTTGGTTCCCTTGAAAGCCAACCAAAAGAGGGTTCCCCTAAAACAAGACATAGCCATATCCGAGCGTAGCGATCACAAGGAGCCCCGCAGCAAGGGCTCACATCCTGCGTGGATTGGCGTACTGCGCAGTTGGACACTACGCACAATGGACACCACGACCAGACAGCATAAGGGTTCAGGATTGACTTGGGAACGCACTTGGGTGTTCGGATAAGAATGTAAGTTGTTGGTACGGATATAACCTACCTTTGAGCTGCCCTATGTGGGGTTAACTTTGGTTAGGGTTACCACCCCAGTAACTAACTTACTTGAAACCCTGGAATGAAGATTCCCCCGCAAATGCCAACAAACAACAGGTTTCCCATGGTTTCAAAGTGGTGAAGGATTTCGTCCACCCACAGTATGGGTTCATGTTTTAATGGTGTCTTCTTGAAGGGAAATACTTGGCCCAACCCCAGGGTACGCCAATCAATTAGATTGTGGCAACCATATTAGCCAACCTTATGACATAAATTGGAGGAGACCCCAATTGATGCTGCGTTGCTTCAACCGCACCTGGCAAATGGATCCCAAAAATCATGTAAAGAATTCGGCAGCCCTGGCGTGGGGTTCAGGACTGCCAATCCAACTCTGAATCTTTTGTTTTCGTCCAGGTCGCCTTTTGCTAGAGTCCAGAACAGGTTGAGGGTCAATAAAGGCAAGCGCCGCAAATCACTTCGTTTGGGTGGCGTCTGTTTCATGCCGATTTCGAAACGTGACAGCTGGGCTACCACGATGTCCCCTCAAAACGTCATTTCTACCAAACAAAAGTCACGTTTACTTGTCCCAAAAGGTGATGCTTAAAGCCAGCCTTCAACTGAGTTGCTCTTCCCGAGCAAAAGAGCAACCCTTTTGTAGGCCTGGTGGAAGAACACTTCCAACAGGTCCAACGAACGATTCGGTCAAAGAACGTGTCGGTACCCTGGACCAACGGAGCGATCTCGATGACTCGCATCTTTCTCGCTCTCCGAGCGCAGGTCTTGGGAAAACTTTTCGGGGCACAGTGCGGCTGTGTGCCGCAGCCAGGAGCTGAGACAAAGCCGACCTCAAACTGTCTGGTCCTCGCTGCCCTAAGAAGCTGAAGGCCTTTTTTTCAATTATGAGGACTGATGCCCGACATTTCTACAGGCCACCCAACGACAACTGCTTCTCTAGACGGCACTTCGGTTTTGGATGTGGGCAACACATTTTAAGGGTGCTGGTACTTGCCCAAAACTCGAAACACACGGTCAGCCTTCTGACATCACTCAAAATGAGGCAAACTGCAAAACTCAACATGTGACTTAAGGACAATAATGCAATATTACTTACTACTAGTTCTTTTGGGTAGGCCCCCTGGATTTTGCAAGGAACCAACGACCATCGTGTAGGCCCCTCCATGTCCTCCCCGATTAAACCATAGCCTACAGCTGACAGTCTTCGGTTTAAATCCATTCTGGTGCACGATCCAGAACGGCATCTTTGTTGCCAACTACCCCTCTACAGATTACACCTGAGTCTTGCAACCATACACAAAGAAACCCTGAAAGGATAAATGCACTGTAAACAACAACAAAGAAGGGTTTCCCTTGGTTTCTTAGGTGGTGCAGGATTTCGTCCATCCGCCGTATTCCTTCAGGGTAAGCCTTAGTGAGTGGTTTGGATTGGCGGGTTTGGATTTGGATTGGAACTCCTGGCTTTTGTAGAGGGTTGCAAGGGTGTCCAGCACCCCTCCAAACTACCGGACACCAAACCGCCAAAGAGGAGGGAGTCATCTTTCAACCATACGCAGGACATATACAGTACGGGTTTCTCTCAAAATTTGTGGGCCCGGCTTTTGGTATCCCCTTAAAGTCACTCCACTGTTGGATACCCGCAAAAAACAACCAATCCATATTCAAGTCCTTGTGGGTTCAACCTGAAGCTGGACATCCTGTAAAACACCCAGGAAGCTCCTCTGCGGGGAGCTCAGAAAGGCCTGACTTCAATGATCGGACTGGGCTTCATTAGACATGTCGATTGGGTTCCAATGCGAATCCAAGCTGTACCCTGTTGGTAAATCAAAAATCACAACCAACCAAAAGTGCTCCAGCTGTCCCTCCATCTGTTTTTTCACCCCTTGAAAAAATGCGAACACATGTCCAGTGGCAGAGATTCCCAAAAAATCCAAACCACAGGGGAAAATGACTTTGAGCCAATGAACTGCTTTTTTCCAACTCCCTTGTCTTCCGAAGTGGATGCCATGGCTTTTCTCAGCTCCGGTCACCGTTTTAACACCGAATGGCCGAGTTCTGAAGCTGGCGATTCCCCGCGCGGTGAGTCCCACCGGGAAAATGTTCTGTTGACCCCAGATTAATAAACCCCTTAGTAATATGGGGGTGTTCCCCTCCAGTGATGAACCCCCACTAAAACCAGGGACACCCTCATATTCATAAACCAGGGTTTATTACTCCGGGGTCAACATTTCTGGGAATGAGGAACTTTCAGAAACACCTAGGTCGACACCTCCAATTTACATCTATTCACTCAATTCTGTGAATGTTGCTGACTAAACTTTGACCCCTGCCAAACTTGTCATTTGTACGTTCCTTCCAGGAAGCTGTGCCGCCCAAGTGAGTCACAATCAAAGCCTGGTAATAAAGCAGTCTACCCAAAATCATGTAACAGCAAGATGGCTTCTTCCTGTACCAGTTTTCTAGTTAGGAGTGTCTTCCCCCTAGTAATTCATTTTCTCAGCTTGATGGCTATTTCCCCGTACAAGAAGTTTAACGTTTTGCAGGTTAGCGGGAAGATCACATTTTTCTAACAATGTTCAGGGTTCAAGATCCAACCCAATAGCATTCAAGCCAGGTGAGTCATAATCAGGACCTGGTGTTCGAATGGTCTACCCAGAACAATGTAAAGAATTAAACACGCGGCTGCACCTATTTTCTGGTTGGGATTCTCCCTTGCTAACCTTCACCTATCCGGGTCTTGATTGTGGCTCAGGCGGTTGGCTCAAGTTCGAAAGAAGTTGAGGCAATCATCTCTGGAAGCACCGCACCGCATGCCGAGCCCGCGTCAGCTCCGGGAACAGATCCAAAAGAATTGCGTCGAGCGCTCTATGCAAAAGGTCGGTTTCGGCGACCACCGGAGCCCGTGGCTGTTTGCACCTGCTTCATGCTTGATATGACGTAATCATCCGCAATCCTGGACTCAAGTACCCTCATTTTCAGAAATCATAAATTAAATCGTTACGACACCCTGTTTGAAAAATCACCACAATTCGCCCAGACGATTCTGCGGGTCATTTTGCCAAAAGGGTTGCAACTTTGCCCAAGTCGGTGCTTTAGGTTGGAGGTTCGGAGATAAATTCGGGGACACCTTCCCATTTGAGCTTGCCAAAAGGAAAACAACCATTTTGCCGGGTCCCCCAAAACTCCAAATTGCAAAGGTCGACTTTTGGACAGAGTTGAAACTGCAGGTTGCGGAAACGTGCAAGGAAGCTTCCGGCTACGTCCCGGCTTGGCAATTTGACCCCTCTGCCAAGGGATTCCTCACTGATTCCTCCAGAAGCTCAAAGCTTTAGCTAAAAAAAGTTTGGCTTTGAAGGAGCCAGGGGGGGCAGAGCAACCCAGGGCACCAGTGATCCTCGCACACCGACGCTGCATCCGTCTCCGAACTTCGGTCGACATGGCACATGGCCACGAGCCTGTGTGAGCTCCAGCCGGTGCTGATATGCAGACACAGCGATATTCAGCAGGGTTGTGGGGAATGACCACTTCTGTGATACAACAAAAAGGGCTTCCCAAAGACTCTTTTGTTCTTGTAAAGGAGGATTCCCTTGTATCACAGAAGTGGGGAGAAACCCCTCGATCCCACAACCCTGAAATATTCAGTGGTGTATTAAACCATGTGGCCATGGGTCAAAATTCCGTACCCCCAGTAAACATCCCAAACCCCACGAAAATAGACTGAAATGGGTGGTGCACAGGTCAAAAACAGGGTAACCCCAAAATGGCTTGCCCTGGTAAATGGAACCAAAGACTAAAACCTGCGGTCCCCTGGTGGCTTAATTTTAACCCACACCCATGTCACAGTTCAGCTTCCCTAGAAATGGTGGTTTGGAGCCAAGTGGTTTGGTGGTTCAACTGAGGGGCTTCCCATTTACCCTCTAGGGTTCAAATCCCCAAACCAATAATCCAAACAGCTAATTAAGGGTAACTCGAAAAATAATATACGTCATAATAGCAAGAATAAACATGATGTTTTTGAAACAAACATGATAATAATATATCTAGTAGTACAGTAATCGTAATGTACATGACATCTCCAAGTTAATTACACCTTGTGATCTATATTACATATGTTAAATAAAACCATGATCCCTTCAGTTTATGCAATACATTAAGTCTTACGTACTATACTGTACTGTGGGGATGAGCAATACAAGGTTTGAAAGGCGGCACGTGGTAGTCAGAAGCCAAGTGGCCCGTTCCGGGTTTTTGTTCCAGAGGCAATTGAAAGTAAGCCAATCTACTTTGGGACCACACGCCCCGCTCCCCGGCCGGTTTGTTCAGCCGCCTCATGCTAGATTTAAACCCCTGATCAATAAAAATGTGGCAGTCGGGGTTCTTATTGCATCAATCGATCAGATTCCCTTCAATTGGAGGTTTGGAGGCGGGTGGTTTCCCATTTGTCCTCTACAGGAATCAGGGTTCAAATCCCCAAACCACCAATCCAACAACCAACCAAGGATTCAGCCAAACTGTCATGCCAGGTACGCTGAATACGAACAGAGAAACGTGTCTGGGCAAATTAGAATACTCACCTGCAGATAAAAACAACTTATTTCTAGAGGCAACTTAGTTCGGGGATGCCCTTTTGGGTTCCACTTTACATTGCAGGGGGGTACTTCCCAAAATGAATTACAGCAACAGCCAGAAAGGGAAGTTCATCATTGTGGTATCACAGAAAATGCGCCTGACATCCTGCGCGAAATTGTAGACAAACAGCCCATGTTCTGTTCAGAAGCCTGACATGCGGCTTGGGTACCAGGTTTGGTTCTAGCAAAGCCCGCATGTATGTGTATATATATATACATATATATAGTGTATATATATATACACATCCCCAAGCATCCTTGGACCCTCCATTGGAAATGTCAGGATGTCCTTTGAAAGGTTTAGGTTCACAAAAAGGTGTCTTTGCAGGCACCAAACTCCTAGGGATATATTGTTAGCCCGAAGATTGCTTTGCTTTCTTTAATTTGTGATGGTCACAAAAGGCTCTGACAGAATGAACTATCCTGTCGGACCTCAAGCACCATTCAAAACAGGTATCCCTATGCTAAGACAAACAAGCTGAGCCATGTGAGCCACGGTCAAAATTACTCCCTCAAGAGGGCATGAACAGTATAGTGAGTCTTCTGCTTTTGTGTGAGCAAACTTACATATCCCTCCCATATCAATCATAGATACTGGACCTTTTGAGCAATTCTCATATCTTGTTCATCCTTATCACCTGGAGCGCACCAAGGCCGACCAACCGCATCGGCTTTGGCATCCAAAGTCGTCAATGGCCTGTCCGAGACAATTTAAAACGGGTGTGTCCGTGGATTCGGAAACGATCCATTTTAGGCTAGGTCCTCCAGTAGAGAGGCTAGAGTAAGGGTACCCATGTTTCCGTAGTCTATTTAGTGGGGGAACCCTCCCAACCAAAAAAGAAACGCTAGAAGGGCACTTGGGGACCTAGGGGGTCCGATTTTCCGAAGCCCACGTGCGGCTCCGCATATGAACCACTTGGTGTCCAGGGCTTCGGACCAATGGCCATCCCTTTCGCACCCAAGGACTGCTCTTTGCCAAGTAAACCCCATGTCCTTCCCCACAAAAGAAGAAAAACCATCCCACGAGAAACTCCAGAAACTCGAAATACGTCCCATTCCAACAAACAGAACACACAAACAAACAAACACACAAAAAAACAACAACTCCTTCCATGTCATTCGCAGTTTCCAATTCAGGACACCCCAATTCTCGCTGCGGGTCGAGCTCAAAGAAGAGGATTGACTGTGGGTAAACTGAGTCCCTGAACTTCACGAGTTGACCTCCCACCAACTAACATGGAAGTGTACAAACCTCATTTCCAAGAGGAACGTATTCTTTCTACAGGGGTCTGTAGGGTAAGTCTCATCAAACTTGGATTCCCTTGGGCTTGTCATTCTCATCATGGCAGTCGGTACGCTCCAATATCAGGGGACCGGATCCCAGGTTCTATGTTGCCCAGATCGCAGCCCCGGCTTTTGAAGGACGGTTCCCTTGGTCAACTACAAAACCAGGGAATGGAATCACTGGGTTTGTTTTGGGAAATGCGAATGCTCAAACGAACCTGAAGTCAAGTAAAACCACTCCTTTCTGCCCTTGACAGGCAACAAACAGCGGCATCAAGGCGGGACAAGTTTTCTTTTTGTTCAACAATTCACCAGAGCAAGGGGAACGGTCTATTGAACAAGCAGAATGCATCTACCAAATCCTGTTCCCCCTTTGGTACATGCTTAACCCAGGGATATCAACAAGGGGCACCTTTTGGAGCAAGGCCAACGCCCTATCATCGCCTTATCCAAAGGAATGGCGGAGAACTCGACCCGCGCGTGGCAAATTTGAAACGTTGCTTGCGAGCAGGGTCGGCCCAACTATCTTAGACATGCTTCAACAGCTTAAACAAGTGTTCTACCATCCTCCTCTCAGGTCTCCTTGCAGTTAGCCGTTGCTGATTGAATATTATGCTTGAGGTTGCCCTTCATTAAACCAGTGATGTTTCGACATGTCTTTTCATTAAACCAGAGCAATTTCAACATGCTTCCTAATATGTCCTTTAACACAGATAACCGAGATGGTTAGGTATCCAAGAGTTCCGTTCAAAGTCATCCACGGTGGTGCTTAAGTAAAATAAACAACATCAACCGGGTTTGGCTTTTCTTCTGACCGTGGGGGAGTGCAATCCAACTCATCATCAAAGGGCACACGCCCCTTTTCAGGTCGCTTTTCAAGCGTTCTGAAAACATTTACTTGGCCTGCATGAGGGTGCATAAATCAAACCTGTTCATGTTCCGGTACATATTCAGTCTACCCACAAACATAAAACCGCTTTGGAGCCCCAGGATTTGTTTTTACGGCTGCACACAGTCCTTACCTGTCGCCGACCCTGCTGGCACGATCATATAACTTGCAGCCGAGCGCAATCTCGCATCGGTCACCGGCCAGAAGCCGGCAGCACATTCTCACGAGCAGACGTCAGGCTCGTGCCATCTCGTGCCCATTCAGAAACACAAACAAACATCCGTCACAGTGGCCATGCCCCATCATACCCGAATCCCTGAAACCTCTGGAGTCTGGATATCCGTTGCAAGGGTATTGAACTTGGCCCAATGGGTGGGGTGATGAATGCGATACATACGTATAGTTCTTCAAGTTCTGATAAGCTAGCAGACATAATGACTAGCACATCCAAAAAGAGGCGGCCCCAAACAGGCTGGGCAATTGGGATCCTCGTGAGTATGAACTGGGTACAACTGGGTCAGTCCCAGTGGGCCAGGTGTCCCAAAACACCTAAAATACGTATCCAGCACAGATTTGTTCATGCTGTTTTAACAAAAAAGAACACTGGGCTCGCAATATGGGTGTGTGTAATTCGGGGTTTATATGAACACCCCTGGTGCCCAATTCAGAATCGGTGCTTCTGCGTGGTTTCGCCGGGATTTTTCTCCGAGGCCTGTGACAACGCTGCTTGGTTCCCGTGGGTGCTGCAGATCCCCCAGCAAAAGTTTAACGTTTTCCTTGTTGAAAGGAAATATCAGGGGAATCCAAAAAGTTGAAGTCTAAAGATCCAACCCAGTAGGGGCATGGCTCAAAAAAGCGGTGCCAAAATGGCTTGCCCTGGGTGGAAACATGGACCAACACCTGCGGTTTGACCCTAGCTCTTGAATTTTTTTAAGCCGCTGCCATTGCAGACGTCCGTCCGTAGCGGTGCATCGCTTTGGCGCCCGCGCCGTTCCACATCACTCGAAGTCGCTGCCGCTCTCGGACGCGGAGCTGGGATCGGAGGTCTCCGCGTCCGCGAGCTGGGACTTGCTGAGGGAGTGGCCCGTGGCGCTGAGCCCCACCTCAGCGCAGGCGCCCTTGGGGGTGCTGTGTGTTTTTTGGTGCTTTTGCTAGAAAACTGGGAGGAAAACCACATGTGTTGTGGTTTCATAGGGAAACTGGGAGGAAAACCATATGTGGTTGGATATGGTTGGATGAGCAAATAGCAGGAAAACCATATTTTGGGGGGCCCCAACAAAAAGACACACCCTAAGAATATTTGGGGGAGTGGTTAATATTCCCTTCGGCCCTCAGTCCTGACCATGGGTATGCCACCAAAATTCCTTCTGTGGGCCATGCTCATGGTTCCCTCAATGAATCTTGGCATGAACATCCGAAGAAGCCCCAAGTTAAAACGTGTTTTGACCAAGGCACATGGGCAATGAGCTCCTGAGTTAGTTTTCTCATGGAACTGGGCTGTCCTCAGATCCCCTGCTAAAAGCTTTTAACTTTTAGTGGGTGAAGTGGAACTCCCCACTAACTCCCCCGAAAAACGAAACACCGACTGCGGCTGGGAACCGAGGGAATTGAATCACCCCTCCCCATTGAGCTGAGGGGGTTGGGCCGTCAAATTCTTCTGACGGCATCACTCGCATTTCCTCACGTGTTTTCTTTTCAACCGTCTTAAAATGGAACCCGTATAGGAGAACACGGCGCAGACATATCTCGACGCAAACCCAACAGTAAAAAAAGGGTGTGCCTTTTTTAGCGCACTCCCTCAAACAGAAAATGTGTTGTTGTTTTTTGTGCTGGCTTCCCTTTAAAACTACAAAAATGAAATCCCCCCCAAAAAAGAAACACCCCCAAAGAAAGCCCCAACGGTTGGTATTTTTTCTCTTTGGATTGTTTGTTGTCTTTCTTTTCTTTTTTTTTGGGGGGGGCTGCTTGGGGATAGGGTAGGGTCTCTGATGCAACTTGGTGAGGTGTGAGCAAGGGAATGAAGACACCACTCCTATTGAGATATCTGTTCGGCTTCCTTCAAGGATCCCTGCTTTCATCCCAAAACCCGTGATACTGAGAACCAGCAAGATACAGTCAGTTCCAAAACAATCCTGAATCGTTCTGCTAAATGGATCGGCTTCCAGTGTTACAATGTTCCACTTAGGTGTTCGACCAAGTTTGCCCTTGGGTTTGAGCTAGCAACCTCCAAGCCAGGCACAAACATCCAAGTAGTGTTCCACGGATCCGAATTTCGGATCTGCCAGCGTCTCGAGTAGCATTTCAGGTAGGGATTTTTAATCATCTACCAGGCTTGGTTTGCCTGAAGCCGACAAAAGGAGGCATCACAGTGACTCGATCCAGTGGGCAGTATAAGGAACCAGGGGTTCCATTGCTTGACCCCCAATGTAGACGCAAACTGGTGGGAAATCGGACCCATCTCAGGGCTAAATCTGCCCTGTCAAGAACCTGCAACGCAGAAAGGAAAATACTTAAATTAGCCGACTCTGCCAACTCGCCGGCCTCGTGATGTTGCCATGTTCAAAGTCACTCCCGTGTTTTTTTTTTTTTGCTCTGATTTTGATGACCTCCACAAACAGTCAACAGAATCTCGGTTGCTTCTGCTCCCCTGAAAGTTTCACTTTTTGTGGTTTAACGGAAAACCCAAAAAGTTGGCAAAGAGTTAAAGTCCTAACATCCCTTGGCAAAATGCACCTCTGCATATAATGACCCCATGACTCACCGCCCTCGCGGGCGCCTCCCGCAGGATCTCGCGGCTCAGGCCAAAGCCCTTTGTGGACTTTGGGTCCCGCGGCGAGCTCAGCGGGGCTCCCGCGCTGTCATTGGAAGGTGTCGCGTCGGGAAGAGCCAAGGCGTTGACGGCCTCCAAGCTCCAAAATGGCCAAGCCAGTAGGGTTATGCAGGTTTTGGTCTTGGTTTCTCCATTTACCACATGTTGGCTACAATTAGAAACAAAAACCTGGGATTGCGCAGGTTTTGGTCTTGGTTTTGATTTACAGGGCCATTTTGGGGACCGAACCCAGGTATGTAGGTTGTAGCCATTTATAACCATGTATGTAGTGGGAGTGGGGTCAGCGTCAGCTCCCTTCCATGGTCGTAACCCAGTGTTCAACCACCCACCTACCCTCTTTCCAACAATCATGTAAGTGGAGAGACGCGGTTCCCCAAACAAGAAACAATTGTCTTCCAACCCCCCCCTCGAGCGTCAGCTCCATGATCGGAGGCTTGCGCATTCTTGCAGGATCTAGTTACTCAGGAAGCCTGAGGACGGAAAATTCGTGTTTTAAAGCCCCCCCCAAGCCCCAAGCCCCAAGCGGGCCGTTTTTCTACAGTACTAGGAGGCTAGCAAGTCGCTTGCAACCAAAATGGGAGTACCTGGGGTTAGCTCGTGGGATGCACCTCTTGGCCGGGCTCCGCGGGAAGGGGAACAGCTTCAGGTGAAAGTAGATGGAAAGGTGAACTTCCCAGAGTTGCCCCTGGTCCCAAACCTTCCAGAGATTTCTACCCTTAAAGGTCCAATGCGAAAAAGGTCACAAGCTAAACGACCTATCAGAATGAAGATGGCACCCTTTCCTGGGTTCGTCCAGGGGAAGACTAAATCCCAAATGGGGGATAGTGCCACGTACTCTTATCCAACTGTACTTCAAATACATATACATATTTTGTTTCAAAGGGGAATTCACAAAATTAAGCCCTGTAATGGGAAATGCAGCGCTAATCACCAACCGCCATTGTGGTCTATTCTTGGTAAAATGTCAAAAAGTCGATTCGAATTGGGCAAGGAAGGTGACAACAAATTTCACTAAAACATCTAGTGATGCAGGCTTGACCTACTGTATCTGTGTGTTTTGTTTCGTCCACAGTCCTGTCTGGCAAAAACATTGCATGTACTAGCAGCACGCAAATGCAATTAATTAAGCGCGGGCTGCCCCTTTTGGCATCTTCCAAAGTCGGCCCTTGGTTCAACCACTGACCTTCTGCTGATCGCCCCTGGCAACTGCAACTTGCAGCAACCAGCCTGCGATTTGACTGGCCCCGAACAAAATACCTAGACCAAGATGAGAACACCTGGCAACGAACAGTTGAACGCATGGAAACTGAAGAGGCAAGTAATCATCCGGACGCGGGTTGATTTTTTTTCTTCAAAGGAGTGACCACACGTTGTTGTTGTTGTTGATTTATTTTGTGAGCCTTACCCTTTTCAGGCTGCTTCGAATGGATTCCACTAGAACACCCAGGAGTTTTGGGGTGCTTTTGTGCCCTATTCACGTCACATGTGTTTGCCCTGCCTTGGCTTCCTTGGGAGAGTTGGACTCCTGCACATTGCAAGCGAATCGGGCTTCGAATCGGAAAAGTGAGGGTTTTGGGTATTTTGACTTCAGTTCACTTCGACAAGTTCGTGTCTGTGGTTAGCTGCTCAGGACTTGCCACCCCCCTATCAAGTTGTTTACCCCACTGTTGTTGCGACTCAAAGTGGGTTGCAAGCTAAGTTATCAACAGCTTTCTAACTTAGCCGAACTCCCAAGCAGGGAATCAACAGGGTTTTGGGAATGACCCGTGGGTTCTCAAAGGACACCAGGAATGCTTCATTCGGGTAGGTGTCATTCTCTGCCCTCAGAACCAGTAGGTTAAGCGTGGACTTAGGGGTTCTGCTACCGGGCGTGGGAATTTGAACGGAAGAAGCCGCCAGTTGCTGGTAGCGGGTCCGTTGGGTTCCCTGCAAAGGTCCTTGGGGTGTCCGGGAAGCACCAGAAAAACAGCCCCAAATCCAGTTGCCAGGCTTGTTGACTCAGCAAGGGGTCCCAAGAGGTCCCAAGGTGCTGACCGTAAACTCTCAGAAGGAGAGCTCGACTGGTCTTTGCCTTTGGTTTAGCCTTCCGCCGATATTTTTTGTTTGGCGCAGGATAGATCCTGTGGTCCCAAGCAGTATTAGACACGTGTCGCCTCTGTCAGGGCTGGCTTTGCGAGCTAGAAGATTCCTTGACAACCAAAGAAAGGCTTCTTCACGCAACCTTTTAAAGAACATTGGACTGAAACACACGTGAAGCTGGTAACGAAACTGGCCCGCCTTGTTCCAAACCATTGGATTTTGCCTCGTTCCCTCTGCGCTTCAGCGCATCCATTGGAACCACTCGCGAATCCATTTGGGGTGATCTGTCAGGTTAAACCGCTTAGATCTGCAAACTGAAGTGGACCCAAAAGCTACTCTCACCAACCGCTTTGACGTCGAAATCCGTAACCACCCCAAAACGTGACACCGCGTCTGCTTTCTTTTTGGCCCAGACCCATGTGTAGGGGAATCACCCTCCTGGGGAAATCAGCCTCAAACTTCCACATGCATCAGCCCGAACCTTGGTGCCTCAAAAAGGGTCGCCTTTCGAGGTCCAAAGTTCCCCCCTCCAATGGAGAGAGTCCAATGATTGAGGAGGCAAGTACTCGACTGAACAGTTCCCCTGCTGTCGTTAACTCCGGAATCAGGACAGGAGCATGATCCATACTCGATGATTTTGGGGAGACCTCCTGTACCAAATTTCGAAACCTTTGTTTAAGGCATCCCAAATTGGCGGCTTGGGGATTAGCCCTGAATCTTGCACAGGGCAAATGGAAACCACCTGCTTACCTCCTAACCTCCGAATCAACAATCCAATTCATCAATTACGGCAAGCCGATGATCAAGGGACGAGGAGCCCCTCCAGCAAGGATCTGTGTAAGAACATGTCCGCCCTTGAGCCCCAGCAAGTCGGACACTGATATGGACCCAAAATTAGCTGAGCATGTTCCCCAAGTCATCCACCCCCGTAATTGGGGATAATATTGTGGATGGACTGACGAAATCTCGCACCACCTAAGAAACCATGAGAAACCATTGTTGATACTTTCAGGGGATCTATTCTGCCAGAGTTTTTTGGGTGGTGCATGATTTCGTCCATCCACAGTATCAGGTGGGTGCGACTTTCGTCCGAAATTGCCATTGAGACAAGCGGCCTTTAGGTCTTCCCAAACCCTCTGATCCTGGTAGTTGCGTCCCCTTGCGGATATGTCCCCTGGAAACAATATCTGCATATTCGAGTACTGATAGATTCCCTTTTAACCCCGGGGAAAAATAAAACATATGGATGTGCCTCGGAGATTCGATTCCAACAAACCGGAGAGCAACCCCCTACACCCAATACCCACAAGGCAGAATAGGGTATGATGTCAACCACTGGCTGCAAAATGATGTATGTGTCTCGGAAGGCATCACTTGTCCCAATGCCTTGCAAAAAACGGGTCTTTAGAGATCATAGATATTTGTTGCCTCGCCACTCTTTGGGGGGGCACCCGTTTTTTCAACTCTAAACCCCATGAAAAAAGAGTCTTTGAAGGAAGGGGGTCACTCAGCCCGCCCCTTGAACCCTTGCTGGCGCCCGGCTTGCCTCAGAGACCAAGGTGTCGCCGCTAAAGACGCGATCGATGCCCTCCGACTCATCGGCATGCTCCTGTCCGATTCATTTGGCTGTGGGTCAAAACCAACCCCTGGTGAACGTCAAAGGTGGCAAATGGATGTTCCACCCCAAAATGGGATCGCCATAGGTTTTGCCCCATGGCCATCAGGACCCCTCCAATGGGTGTAAGAACCAGATCTCTCTCCCACAAAAAAAAAGCAGCACACTTTTACCCCACCAAAACCAAGGTTTGTACGTGTGGAGCTTTTTGACCTGGTGTTTTTGAAGGACCCCTCCCCATGATTGGTGGCGTCCTACGTTTGCACAAGAACAGCTTCGAGAAGCTCCGCAGGCGTACACCGGAGGCTCTGCGTCTCAAAAACCGCTTTTTTGTTTATCTATCGCTTGCTTAATCATACCCGAAGGAGTCGCCTTTAACATCAGAGGAAGCTAGTCAAAGCCAAAAGGTGAGTTGAGTTGACTGATCTGAAAGACAATTCAGACAGAAACAAGCCAAAGGAGCCAAAGCACTGGAAAAGAACATGTCCAGTCATAGCTTCCCGTAAGAAATTGGGAAAAAAAAACAGGGGAACATTCATGGGTTTGTTTGTCTCAGCCTAGGAAAAAGCGAAACCCGAAACATGGCGCGTTTTCCCCTTGGTCTTGCCCTTCTCGCATGCATGGCTGCCGCTTTGGCCTTTCCGGCGGAAAAGGTCCACTCCATTTCGAGCCTCAAGAAACCAAGGAGAGATTCGGTTGCGGACAACTAACCTCGGCGAAATCTCCTCCCCGAAAAGTGACTAACTTTTAGTGGTTTAATGGATTCGGACAACTCATTTGGCAAATTGTTAAGGTCCTAACATCCCTTGGCAAAATGCAACAAAGTAAAGGAGCACCTGAAATCTGACACGTCCCATGGTTCCTGGTTCCTTTAAGGTTCATGGCGTGGCATCATGTGGCATCGTGGCAGCTCTTTGGACACTTCCGCATTTTGAACTCACTTTCCTTCGAAAACCACACGCCCAGGTTGGAAGCCGCCGGCTTGGAAGAGAACTAATTGACAAGGAGACCATCTTAGCATGGAATCCCAATCTTGGCCTGCAGGTACTCAAAACAAAGTATGTCTCTTAGGTGACCTGTTGAATGGGTTCTATCAAATGGGCTCCTCTCAGATGCAAACCCATGTTTCTCCTGAAGCGAGCGCCATGTTTTTTGCTCCAAAGTCCCACAACTCTGGCCAATCCCTCCTGCTCGAAGTACATGTTCGCCAAAAAATGCGCGTAGTCCTGGTCCTGGCGGCGTTCCAAAAAGCCTCCAGCCACAAACCCTAGAGGTCTTACTCAACATTTATTGGAAGAACTTCAATTGTGTAGTCTTTTAGCTTTGTTGCTTTTTTGGCCTTCAGTTTCGTATTTGCGGCTTTCAGCAGGCGAAACAAGCTGAACCCAGTTCCGGAATGAGCACTCGAGCCCTGTGTTTCTTCAGTGCGGGGTTCAACAATTGGAGTCCCGTGGATCTGCCTGAGGGAAACAGGTTCGTTACCAATCAACTGCTCTTCGAGTTTCAAGTCCAAGGTTTCCTCGAACAAGGTGTGACTTGTATCGCCTGAGACGTTGAAAACAGCCGTCGGGACATTGACATCGGGGGGGTGTCTCTAACTTGGGGGGAACCACGAAAAAGTCGAGATGGTCTGTTTGTTTTTTTCGATACGGTACCGGTTTCAAGGCAAGGCAAACCAAACAAATAAGGGTATTACAGGGTAGATCCAGCAACTATCTACTTGATGTGGGTCTTCGGAAGGTTTGGGCGTCCAAACAGGTTTCAAAGTACACTGAGGGATTAAGATATCTGCCCAGCCTATGGTATCTCAATGTATCTCAGCAGCTTGAGGTCTGTTGATGGCCACCCAATCCAAATAAGAGCTATAAGCGCCTGATTGGCTTCCTGTTTTTTTCCGGGTGGCCTCCATTTAGGGGGGGGCAATCAACACATGAAAACAAGTTGAAACATCCTGGCGCGAAGCATCGCATTCTTGTTTCTCCGAGTCCTTCTTGGAGACTTCTTGTGCCACCCGCGCCAGCAACTCGGCATTCTGGACGCCTCGATAATGCTGACGCCGCTGCTCCTCCCGAGTCAGAGGGCGCCAACGTCCTCTTATCAGGCCCCTTCAAACCTGTTCAACCACTCAAATACCAATCCGCACTGCACAGAACGCAAGATTTCCAACAAGTTCACTTGCGTTTGGTGAGTACCCTCTCCAAAAGTGGAAAGCTCGCGCTTTCGAAATCCATGGTATAGATCCCAATGCCTTGGACACAGGGCTGCTTTGGAAGCGTCGCTTGCCAAGTCAGTACTTAAAACCCCGCTAAGCAACGTAGGTTACCAACAGGATAGTAAGTGGTTCGCCGCTTGGGCTAAACACCCCCTAAGGATTACCCCACTTATATATATATATATATGTATATACAATATTTTTAAGTGGGCAACAACCTAGGTTGCAAACAACTTCCTTGGTCGAACACCTGAGAAGGCAATGCAATTTGGTGACGATCTGGGTTGGAGGCCAAGAAGTCTGACGATCAACGCCGGTTAGGTGTCTGTGCTACAGTGTCACTTGCTTGGAGCATGCAGTGGTGCTGTTCGATCAGCGACATCATCATGCCGATAATAATAATCATACTAATACTAACAATAACAGTAATAATAATGATAATTACAAAAACAAAAATACCAAAAATAATAATAGTAGTAATAACAACAAGAATAATGATAGTACTAATAAAACAAATAGTAATGATAGTAATAATAAGAATAATGGTAATAGTAGTAATAACAATAATAATAGTACTACTAATGGCAATAATAATAACAATAATTATGCTGATAATGATGATACTAATAATATACATACATACATAACCGATTACATGTGCTCCTATGGCGATATTTCACTCGCTCGGTAAGCCTGACATGTGTCGATGGTTGATATTTACTTGGCCGTGCAGCCTGGAAGCTGCTTCACCTCCCTGCTGGTCTAGTGGGTTCACCACAAGCATGCCGAAGCAACCAGACCCTGCGCCCCTTTAAGCATGTTGAAACACGGGCTTGGCCCACTGTGTTTAAGGGAGTATGTCAACCCTAGGGTGTAATTGAGAAACCATCCTGCTTTTGTTCAATCTGGGCTGTGCACAATGGTGGTTGGCCAGTCCGACTTTCCAACCCCGATTGGGAAACCACGATATCAGGCCACCCATTGAAAAGGAATGGCCTGATCCAAACCAGATGATGAAACCTAGAGAAATGATTGAGGTCGTAGTGAAATTTCAAGGGTTTGTGGCAACTGGCAACTTCCTAAGGAAGCTCCACAGCTTGTACTTGTTTCATATGAAGTCTACCCTTTTTTGAAATGTTTTCTGAGACTCCAGCAACAAACATAACTAACTCACTTGCCCGAAGGACTCAGACATAAAAGCATAAACTTTTGAAACCTTGACGAAACATAGACCAAAATTACCAAACAGGGGAGAGACAAAAAAACCAAAAAAATCGGGCAGATGTGGTCGATTTTCGCCTTGGGCCAGCAAGACAACCGACGGAACCCGCGCCTGTACCACCGCCGCGATGTAGGCGTCCCGGTTCTGGGCGCGCTGGTGTCGCCGACCGAGGCCCAGGCCGCGCCGGCTTTCGTCCTTCAGGCCTCGGTTAAAGGCGCGGAGGTAGGGAGTGGATGGTGGCAAAATCCGTTTCGCACCACCTAAGAAACCCTAGAATGATACGATTCCCCTGTGGACACCAACAAACAAGGGGGTTCGACCATGGTTTCCAAGTCGTGCGAAATGGATTTCGTCCATCAGTAGGGAGTAGATGGCAGCATTCCAACCCATGTACTGGCGGTGCATTCCATTGAACATGCTACTTTTGCAGGTCCAGAGAAGGTAAATAGTAGCTTCTTAAACTCGGTTGCCTTCTGCTCCCCTGCTAAAAGTTAAACTTTTAGTGGTTTGATGGAAAACCCATTAGTTGGCAAAAGTTCAAGTCCTAACATCCAAGCAAAATGCACCAAAGCAAAGCAGCACCATTTGTGAGGCGAGCGGCTAGGGTAGGCCTCGATGGTGGCACGATACGCCTCCTACGAGAGGCGTGCCACGTGATTTTCTTTGCTTTCAGGTGGGGAAGGGTCAAAAGTGGAGGTGAGTCACAATCAAAACCCGGTACTAAAATGGTCTACCCAGAACCATGTAAGGAATTAGGAAGTCATCTACCCGGGTTTTGATTGTGGCTCAGGTGATGCTTCAGGGTTTCCTATTTTTCCAACCTAGAACTCACCAGACAAACAAACACCGCAAGGTGAAGCTTTTTCTCCACCGGGACCCCTGGCCTTTGGTCTCCTTACCCAAAAGGGCAGCGTCCCTGAAAAGGAACCGGCCTTGACAATTTCCCGGGTCCGCTCAATACCCAAGAAAACTCCGCTCTAGCTAAGTACAACTTCCCCAATTCTTTCTCGGCCAAGTTATTGAGTTGCTACCCGGCCATTGAGTGCCTAGTAACCTAAGTTGTAACGCGATTCTACGCCTCCCCAGTGGAGTTGACCTTGCCAGTACTGGGTTACAACTTATAAGCCACATGGCTAACCACTTCCCAACTGGACGAGCCTTCAAACAGGGATCCTAAGATTGCCCAAAACACGAGGCGGAAGCCGTACGTTTCGATTTCTTCAGGTGGGGTCCATTCAAAGCCGCTAGTAACCCTCCAGTTGTACTTCCCCCATTCTTTGTAGCGGTATTTCTTTGGGGAAAATTGTCCAAAACCAAAAATCCTCTTTTTGGCATCCCAACGCGATGGGAAGAATGGGGATCAAACTCTAATGACCCCAGGCGAGTCAAGCCGCAGTACTTGACGGGGGGCTTCCTCCAAACAAAAAGGATCAACGGCGTAATTCTGGGTTCCCATTGGATTGAACCAAAGACCAACCAAGCAGGGCAACCCCTTTTTAGTCAGCTTCCGGATTGAAACACTCCCGTGAAATAAAGAAACATGGAATCACCATCACAACCATGTAAACAGTAAAACAAAAGCAGATCTCCTCCACGCCTATTTGGGTATGGGTCAAAATTAACCACCAGGGAACGGCATGTTTTAGTCCTTGTTTCCATTCACCAGGGTTGACTATCCCTCCAGTTACCTCACATGGACGGTAGAACTTCGCGAATCCTTCGCGTGCGGACCCACGCTGCACACGTTGAACATCTCCACGCCCAAAGTCTGCGCTGCAGCCTTGTAGGCGCTGGCAATTTCCTGAGGCCGGCACCAACTTTTCTGGTCAATCCCGATCGAGAGGATCGGCCAAACAGCTGGTCCATTTTTCTGGTTTGTCCCCGAAAGCGTCTTGAGTCTTCGCGGAAACTTAAAACGCGGTCCGGGAACTCGGAGTTCGGAGTGAGTGGTTGAATACTGAATGAGTGGAACTCGGAGTCCACTGCCAGCACCTTCGGCTGTTCAATTGATCCAAACATCCCACAACTGTGGGCCCTTGGAAGACGGCGGATGTGACTTGTTGAGAGTAGGTGTTGGTGCCGAGGCAGTTTTGAAGGGATTCGGAAAGCAAGAACAAACTGTCATTGCCATCGGGGGTGAAGGCTACATCAAGATACACTTAAGTATTGTTTCAAGCTCCTGGTTTTCCTTGGGGACCAAATGAACGTTTCAAGGGAAATCACAACACGCTTCCTACTTTATGACATCGGCTACAACATGTCCAGACTTTTGCAAGTCACTGAAACTCTCTTCCCAAAAAGTCTGGGGACTCCCAAGAAGGCTGTGGTTTTTTGCTAGCCCCGGCTTTCTACAAGCCCCGGCTCAGCACATGTGCCTCTGAACAGGTTGGCTGGGAACCCTTGCTTCACTCTTAGGTTGGCGGGCAACCAGCGGTATTCTCTGGGGGCCCGGTCGGGGTTGGTTGGCCGCAACCTTCCTTCACTTTGGGTGACGCCGCATCCCCCCGTTACAATTTGCCCAGAAGAAGCGACACAGTCCAGGAACTCAGGCAGTGAGTCCGGTTGCTGCATATTCACGTGCAACCATTGGGGATATGACCCCCTCCTCAACCTCTTCTTTAACAGGATTTTGCACATCTTGGTAGAGAAACTCACCCATGGTGATGATTGAAACCACCAAAAAGGGAAATCTGGGAGCCCTGTTGAAACTTCCTCCTCAAGTCCGCCCCCCAATACCGTGCAAAAGGCCAAAGGGACCACGGCGACAGGAGGGGGGGGTCAGGCGGGGATGGAGGGAACGGCAGGAGTTCAGATCTCATGAGTTAAGGTTCCTTTGAAATGCCATTTTCCAGCCTGCAGCTTGAATGGAACAGCAATTTGTCTCTATCAAAAGGTTGCACACTTGAGAGCCAAGACAACGGGAATTCGAGGCACAAAGTGGGGACTCTTAGCGGAGATGGGTTGGAAGATCATTTGGCTTGCAAGTCATCCCACTGGCATCTTGCTGGCTCGCAAAACATTCTCCAGGGCGTTTCTTTGAGGCAAGTGCAAAAAGGTTCTCGATCCCATCGATATCTGCCGCAGAATGCTCTGACTAAATACCCCCAACCCCAATTTGTCCTTTTAGATCAGGGCTGTGGGGAATGACCACTTCTGTGATACAACAGAAAGGGATTCCCAAAGACGATTTTGTTCATAAGGGGGATTCCTATCACAGTGGGAATAAACCCCGAATGATCCCACCCTGTTTTAGATGTTCTTCTTTTGGGCTGGTGGCTTGTGGCTGAACCCCGAGTTCAGTTGGCCAGTTCTCAAGGTCTCAACCTCCCTTTGGATCCACGGGCGGCTCCAAATGGTCGGAATAGGCAGGAAGGAGTTGGAACCCCGAAAGAAACACATCTCTTCTGGTTTCATGCCCAAAATCCCCTTCCAGAAGGATTTCTTTGGTGTTCTTAAGGGTTGACCTATGCAAACAGAGTCAGTATTTTTCTTGATTTCTGGTTCCCCAGACGGGCCAAGGACATCCCCGGCCCGGGTTCATTCTTACCAAACTCCTGTTGATTTCAAGTCCCGAGGAGCCGGTCTCAAGTGGATTTGGCCAAATCAAAGGCTCTTTGGACATGCCGTGGCTTGCTCATCGTGTTTTTAACTGGGGTCATGAGAAACAAAAGGTTTCTGGGAATCAAAGTTATTCCAAGTTCGGCCACAAACACAACAAGCAATTGGGGGTCGGTCCAACCATGCGTATGTATGTGTGTATTTGTATATATATATATATATATATGTATATCCTCCGAAGGCTGCTTTGCATTTGGCTTCGGCCAGCCAACTTCGATCCCCAACAAAAAGTCTCACGCCCTGAGTTGCGGAACTGAAGAACCTTTTGGGAGGATTGTGGTAAACGACTGGTTTGGATCCTTTTGGATTTTGACTTGGTGTTTGTGATTTTCTCAAGATGCTGAACAGTTGCGCTCGGTTTCTGGTCCGCTGGCACACAAGTGACATAGAAGTCATATAAAATCATAGAACCCCTGGTGCATGTTCGCCTAGAAAGGGACCAAAGAGTGCTTGAACCGGGGCCCGGCGAGTTCGGCGTAGCCTTTTTGGTTTGCGTCAAACAGTCCCAACATGCGGCCCGCAGCCTGAGTACACAAGGGGCACCTTTTTGGTGGTAGCTGATATATGGGTGTTGTTGCTTTTTTTGGAGACTCCCAACATGGCACAATGGTTACCCACCAAAAACCCACAGAAAAGGACAGACCAATACTGAAGGGGCCACTGGGCCAGTGAACATCCCAATCCCCATTAAAATAGACTAAACTGAGCAGTGCACCTACCCCAAAATGGCACTATTGGTTTTGACCCAGCCACATCAGCTTCCCTAAAAAAGGGTGGCTTTTAAAGACGAGGAGCCAAGCGGACCCTCAGGAAGTCCACAAAGTCCTCGGGCTGCCACCACAGCTGGTTCCGGCGATGCTCTGGCACGTCCGGCACCTCGAGAAGATGCTTGCCGCTTTTTCGGGGCATGCTTTTCCATGAAAATGGCCAATGAGGGTTTGGGGTGCTGCTCATTGTTTGTTTCTATTGAGGTACTTTCTATTGAGGTTTCTTTGGGTTCTGCTCATTTGGGGTTTGTTTGTTTCTATTGAGGTACTTTCAGAGGTAAACGCCATTGTTGTGGGGGTCCCCCTGTTGCACATACAGGCACACCACAATACCATTTCTCGCTTCAAGAAGATTCCGCAAGGGAATCGCATAGAAAACCTCGGCTTTTGCTGCCCCCATCAAAAACGATATGTCTGTCCGTATTTTCTGGGGGCAAGATGGCTGGCATCCCCAGCATCCAGCCTTGCTCGCACCTATCGCTGCCTATTGGCTCGAAACCGCTTTTGAGAGGCCTTCGGAAGGGGCACAAATCTGGGGGTACCTTCCCCATTCTTTCCAGGGATCCTTCCTGTCAGGAAACCACCAAAAACCCAGGGGAAACACCCGGTTCTTGAAAAGAACAATGGTTGAAAACAATGGGGAACCAGCCTGTAGAAAAAGGAAGAAGGAAAACTCACCTGGCCAAAAAACTGAACTTGAAACCCACGAAAAATCTCGGGACCCCTGTGCTCCGGGACCGGTAAAATCACTGCAACCTTCGGGCGGTTGAACTGCCCCGAAAATACGCAAAAGCACCTAGGAACCAAAGCCCAGGAGGCCCTCCTTGTCTCACTTCCCGAGTATATAGATTGCCCCAAACAAATCGAAACTTTGTGTTTGCCACTGAAAATCGTCCAATCCCAAAAGCGACGCTCGTCCGAAACGGAACTCGAAGAGTGACCAAATTGCAGCTCGCGCGCCCAAACCGCATGGCGGGCTCGCTCGCGCCTCTACCAGCACGGGCTCGCGGGTCTCAAAGCGCACGCGCCGCCCGGTTCCCTTTGAGCAACCGCGGAAGCCTCCGGGGCGGGGGGGGTTGCGGGCCGGGGGCTGGGGGGGGGGCGGGTGCGGCACGTTTAGTTTCTTCAGGCTTCCTTTTGCAGCTGTTTTAAGTCCTTGTTGGGGGGTGTCTTTTTGTGAGGGTGCCCGTTTTGGGAGGGCTTTGGGGAAACCAACAGAAAAAGACTGTACTGGTTTTGTTTTGGGGCAAGGTCCCCTTTTTATCAAAAAGAAAAGGAAACCAAGTGTTTTGGTAAGATTGCGTCTGATTCAGTTCAACACTTACTTGTCAAACCCGCCTCGGTACTTGCTTCAAGTTTGATGAATGGAAAACCAACGGGACAACCGGTTTTCGGGTCCTCCTTATTTTGACGCATAGATTGATTCTTGGCAGATCTCGGATATCGAGCCCCAAAATGAGGCCCGGCCCCTCTCAGAAGCGCACTCAAGGGGGAAAAGAAAGGCCCCCTTCTTTTGCTGGTCGACTTTCAAGGGGTTTCCACGCCAAGACAAAACCGATCTTCCTTGGGGCTCCCTACCCGGAAAAAAACATGAAATCACCAAATGTCATCGGAAAAAAGGAACAACAAACACAACCTCGAACCACCAAAAAAAACACAAAACAACAGCAGGATGGAGCCGACTTCGACTTCCAGCCGCGAAGCTTAAGCCGAGGCTGTTCAAGTGCCGGCTGGACAGCCACGCGGCCAGCGACAAAAAAGCGGCACGGAAGCCCGACCTCGAGCCGTTCGGTGTTTCACGCCGCTCAGATCCGGGGAAGGGGAGGATCTTAGCTCAAAAGCTGGGCTTTTGTTTGGGTCCACAACCGTATGGAGGTCCCTTTCTCCCTCCAAAGCGTCCCTTCTGATGACTGGGGAAAACACATCATGAACCCTTAACATGAACCAACCAGTACAACCACAAAGGCCATCATTGGGTTTTATTTAGCAAACATTATATACAAAATAACACCTATCTGGAACCCCCAGAACTGAAAGGGTCTCCCTGCTGAAAGGCGCTCCAGAGTACCGCTTGAAACTATGACCCGGCAACTATTCTTTCTGATGGCACCAAATTTGTCTTGCTGGTGCTCAGCAGGGAATGAGGGAATGACCCGTATAAACCATCCCACTGGTTTTCTGTAAGGGACTCCCTGGCTTCATTCCCTCATTCCCGGAGCACCAGCAAGTTGTTAGCTTATGTTTTGTGGCCTGCCACATAAACACCGAAGCCCGTGTTGGGGCCCAGTTTGAAACACAGCCAAAGGAGCAGCGCCGAAACCCCATTGACTTGTGGTTGAACCAACATGGTTATAAAGGGTTGCGGTTAAAACCAGGTAGCAGAACCAGCTACATAGATTCAAATTATGGGACAAGTTCATATGGGTGTGAATTTTAATAGGGAACTCTTTAGTGGACATCATTTGGGCATGTCCACCAAACTGTTGACGTGGCTTCCTATTACAACTCATAAACAAATATAGATCGCATAATAATCAACTTCAATCTGAGAAAGTGGCAATTACACATGTTGAATTTTACATCCTGGGAAAGGCTAGGGCGCCACTAAATAGGTGTGGAAACATTGATTGGTGACCCATCCCTTTTGGTCGTGAACATTTGTTCCCCTTCTCCAGTCCATTCCTTGGCTCTCTGGCAACTCTTGGGGAGCACACAAATCGTTCTTTTCAGACTCTGGCAAGTATTTAGTCCACCCAAAGATGTTGCAAACAATGGCATTTAGAGTATCATTTCATGGCCGATATGATAATTTAGCTCCTAGAGCATTGCAAAGTTAAGGCACTAAAGGACAATCATGTGCCGTTTGCATCCAAAAGGAACCCACTTGTTAGAACCCATTCAACACGTCACCAACCTGGCCACCCTAAACCTGACCTTCTTGGCCAAGGATAAACATGCAAGACGCTACTTGGATGTTCCTTGCCAGGTTAGCAAGTGGTTCGCCGCTCGGGTTGATTCATCCCGAACAAGGTTAACCCCACTGGGTTGTAGGTGGATAACGTAGGTTTCTGTTGCAACTTGCCACCTTGCCAACTTGGCAGCGAGCGGGCACCCAACCTTGCCCCAGCCAAGGTGCGGCCTTTTCCACGCCTGCTTCGCTATTCGGCTCATCACCAGCAGCAGGCAGCACACCGTGGCCACCGTGCAGCTGAGCGCCCGCGTGCTCATCGTGCGGAAAAAGAAATTGCGCGATGGCGCCGCGGCTCGCGCGTGCGGGCGCGTTTAAAAAGGGGAGGGGTCCCGAACGGCCAGTGGCTAGAAATGGGTGGAACATCGTAGAAAGTGGATGGCTAGGAATAGGCAAGAAAATGGCGGGCTCCCTTTACAAAGTGGGGTGGGCTGAGGTTTTGGTGTTTGTGTTAGGGGTTCTGCCAAAAGCGGCCTTGGTTAGTGACAGGGTTGGCCTCATCCGGCTTCATCTTTCTTTTGCGCAAAACAAAAAATGCTGGGCCAAAGATTCTCCAAGTTTCTTCTCTGATCTTCCAGCCAAAGTCCCTAAGGATCCAAGTACGGGCTGAAGAGACGTCCTAAAAAGTACTTGCGACCCGGGAGTATGTTCTGAGACTTGAGAAGTGGCTCGACTGCAAAAGAATGTCATACTATTTTCTCTGTAAGCCGGCGACTCCGAAGGAGCAGAGCGATACGCATGCAATGCCTGTGCAAGGCTGAGTGGAAGGCTTCAGCCAAACAAACCAAAGTTCTAGCCATGGTAGGCTTCAACTGTGATTCGTAAGACCACAGAGGTTGACAAGTGATTGTGTGGTGTTTAACCCCCTCGCTATGGCTACAAGGGAAGCCGTTCTCAACCCGTGCTTTAAAAGAGTGATAGCAATGGCTGTCCGCGTGCTTGTCAGGCTGCTACCCCTACACAACATGAAAGTGTGTCTTTCAAAGGGGAACCCCTGCTTGGCTGGTTTTAGAGGGAAACCCAAAAGGAACACCGCCATGTGTCTTTTTTCCCCAACAGCTGAAAGCTTTGGGGTCTCAGCCCAAATAGGCTGCGGGGTGGTTCGGGGCGGCCCGGGTTCCACGAGGATTCCACCAGGGTTCCACCAGGGTTCCACCAGGGTTCCACCAGGGTTCCACCAGGGTTCCACCAGGGTTCCACGAGGTTCTGCGAGGGCTGCGGGGTGATGCAAGCACTAAAAACAGCACCGCATGCTGTTGGGGATATCACCTGAGCTTCTTCTTTTTTGTTGGGGGGGGTCTAAACAAAAACCAACACATGGGGACTTGGCCTTGCGCAAAGTGCCTATGAAAGCTAAGGAAGGAGCCGGCAAGACCAGGAAGCTTCCAAGAGGCAAATTGGAAGCAGGTTCTTTGGTTGCTCATTACTCAAAAGAAAGGGGGTCATGACTCTGTTTGGGTCACGGAGACTCCAACAAGATGGATGTTCACAATGCTTGAGGGGGTTCCTATACATTCAAATCTCAAAGTGTCTTGCACACATGGCTTCCAGATCTCAGACGCGTGGCCAAAGGGCAAAAAGCCCCCCCCCCTCGCAAATTCATGTGTTGTGTGGGTCCCGTTTTGGTTAAAGTGTGGGGAGTTTTATGCCTGTCCCAAAATGAACCATAGACAAAACTGGGTTGTCTTCAGATCCCCTGCTAAAAGTTCGACTTTTAGTGGGCTAACCAGAAACCCCCACCAAACCCAAACAACCGAAAAAACCTCAAGGGATGCCTGGGAAGCGCCAAACAAAAAATTTGGATCGACCGAACATCCTGCTTTTCAGGAGCTTGAAAAGGAAAAGGGAAAACCCAGGGCAAGGCTGGTTGCTGGACCCCCAGTGGCCACACGAAAAATAATCGGCACCTCTCAGCACCAACTGGGGGTCTGGGGTAAAGCACCAACTGGGGGTCTGGGGTAAAGCTCAATCGTCGATTTGCTTAAGTCCCCAGATAGCAACATGTGCTGAAGTCTGCCAGGGTCCTCCAGGTTGTACTCCGAATCCTGTCCAATCACTGGACAAAAGGAACAATCAACATATATGTCCAATATATGTCCAGTGCTAGGACCAGGGAAAAATCAAGCATCGCAAGCAACTGGAAGAGATGCCCAACCTGAAGTTCTTTTTGTGTCCAACGGCTCACCTCTTGACCCCCACGAAGATGGTCTTGATCTTCTTGTCGGAGAAGTAGCGGGTGAAGAGGTCGCCCTGCGCCAACAGTCTGGAGACGGGACTGCTGAGCCGCCCCAAATAACCCAAATCTGCTATTGGGACCCGTTCCAGCTCGTTCGGATGTGTCAAACCAATTTGGGCTCGCTTCTTTTGAGGTAACCCCTTGCGGAAGCAAGGAATCAACGGCTACTACTCCAAGACCGGAAATCGCTGAATGTCTTCTTTTCTCCCTTTTTGGGGGGTGGCTTGAAAGGGAATTCAAGAACCCGTTGCGTTAAATGGGTCCCGCTATGTTTATAAGATGGGTTGTATATAAGCCTTCAACCACCAACACCCACATGCCTGAAATGCCCTGGATGCCAAATGCGGACGCTGTCTCAAAATGGCAACCCCCAAAATGAGCGGTGTCCTTCTCATTTAACAAAGGGTACTCAAACAAAAACATCCACCCGTCTGTGGACATGGGTAAAGTGTTCCCCTGGATTTTGTGGAAGCATCGAAAGTCTCCGTGTGCCTCCCAATGGACCATAGATTGGACATTTGACTGAACCGTTAAATGTTGCTTGGGACAGAATTGGGGGAAGTACTGGGAAGCTAAGGGTACCGAAAGGGTTCCTAAGATTTGACTTGGGTTCCTCAACGTCCCATTGAGCTCTTTTCCTGTGGGTTCCTTTGTCAGGATTCCCTTTTGGTTTTCTGCGGGTTGCTAAGGGATGCCTAGATCGAGTCTCTGAAAGTTTCTTGGGGTCCAAGGGGTCTTCCTCAGGGTTCCATACTGTGGATGGACAAAATCCTGCACCACCTAAGAAACCCTGGAATGATGATTCCCCTGAGAATACCAACGAACAGGGGGTTTCCCATAGTTTCCAAGTGGTGCAGGATTTCGTCCATCCACAGTATGGTTCCTTAGGACTCTGATCAAGAGATCTGTCAGACTTCTCAGGCTTTGGGACTCGGGATCCGATTCGATCGGAAGGGTCCATGTTGTGCATACTTCACTTCCGATCGAAAGGTTTGGCCAGAAATAAAAAACTAAAAACTTGCGAACTTGTTGCTTACCACATTAGTCTTCCCAACTTTAAAGTCCAGAAAATCAGGGACTGAGAGAAAACACTTTCAGCTTGTACCAAAGAACAAATGTATAGGGAATGATCCTTTGCGGGTACGCCGAACCCCTTCCATACATTGGAGGGTAGGAAGTTGCTCAGGGTTAAGGGTTGCTAAGCTTGGTGGATATTCTTCTGAAAGAACTGCAAGCTCGAGCGCAACTGAGGACATTTGTTCTATCCTGCACACTATCCTGCTCCCCCGCATAGATTCCTCCAAGGGCTTTCCGGGTTCCTTCCGTTAGTCTCCCTGCAAATGGCTGGAGTGTCCCTTCGAATACCTGTTTGACCCGCCCCCGTAGGGTGCCCTCACTAAAAACTCACACCCAGACCTTTGCAAAGCAAACGTGGGTTGTTAAGCTGGCTGGGCCAAAACACTGAAACTGAAGTTCATCTGTTCTTTGCCTTCAGTTTAGCACCCTAAAGTTGAGCAGTTAGTTTTTGGTCCAAACAGAAAGACTTTAGGGTTCTGAATCGCAGAGAAATTCACTGGAAGCCATCTTTGAGGCTGATGTTGACCCCTCTGCAAACAGTTTGATCATCTTTTGTGGGTCCAACGGAAAATCCCACCCGTTTCAACCAACAAGTTAAAGTCCAAGACCCGTTACCAAGTATGGGTGTGAATTCTAATGAGGGGCCCTCTCGTGGACATCATTTGGGTGGGGAATAATGTCCACCAACCGTTTGGGAGGGGGTTCCTCCCTACAATTCATGGCCATATATAGCCACAAAGTAGGAAGACCATCTATCAACGCCTTTGAGGGTCAGCGGGTAAATCCTGGCACAACGATCGGATGAAGCATGGCTTGCAGGCAGCCAAGAGCAACGGCGATCTACGGGCTACATGGAGGTAACACAAACTGGGGGTGTCTTTTTTGGAGTTGGCAGCCCTTTGTTGTTTATGGTTTTAGAAGGAAACCCAAAGGAAAAAGGGGTCCAACAAAACAAAACAGACCCAGTAGCTAAACCACTAACTTTCTTTCGGAAGGAGCGTGTATGCGACACATTTCCTACACCTAGCCGACAATAACCCAAACATCCTGCAACCGGATTGACCGGACCCGCTCGCTCAGCCGTCGGTCAGTTGTGTGGCCTGGGCAGAGTTCCTTCAGTAGAAACCCTTACAACAGCTGTTGACTAAAAGCCCTATGACCATCACTATCCCCAGGTAAACGGATCAAAGTCTAAATTGCGAACGTTTTTCAAAGAGTAGTGACATCTAGAGCTGGTCCCCGTGAGTCCCTCCCAAATGACCATAGCCGTAGACTACCTGAACGCCTGTAATTGTTTGCAAACTTCGAGCTAGCCCTCCCCATCCTAAAATCGACCATATTGAAACAAGATGGGGGGGCACAAACACATACTGTGGGTGGACAAAATGCTGCCCCACTTTGAAACCATGAAAAACCGCTCTTGGTATTTGAATCAGAAACCTGGGTTCCTTGGGTGGATTTTGTCCATCAACATCTCCCGCCTGCAAAGTCGCAGACATGATGACCAGCTTAAAGTTGTAGCCCGCCATTTGGAGCTTAACCTAGGTGCCGCGGAGCCGCATCGAGCGATCCGCTCCAAGCAGAAACCGTCACCAAAAACGGCCCCTTCAACTGGCGTTCCCCTTCCAGCCTCTGGTTCCCTTTGGGGGGTGTTCCCAGCACTGAGGATGGGCGCCACTAAGCTGAGCAAGTCGGAGTCCACATCGCGCTCGTGAACCTGGCCGTTGAGAGAAGCTACGACTCCGCTTTTGCGGAAACCAAAACGGCGAGAATTTTTGGAGTTTGTAGGGGGGGTTCGTCCAAGGGGGGGGACTGCCTAGGGCCTAAGGAAGCCCAAGAAACTCCAGGTGAAGGAGCCTTGAGAAACCCTAGGGTTCTACCCTGGTACCTGCCCCCCTTAAGGATTCCACAGAAGGTTCAGAGCCACTGCTCGAAGTGTGAAGCGCAACTGAAGTTGGAACTTCCCAGTTACCCATCATACATAAGCTGGGTGCACATCTCCAAATCGCTGAAGAAAACCAAACCGAAGAAACACAAGGAACCCTGCAGGTTGTTCCTAGTTGTTGCCCAGTTGCAGGACCCAGAAAGGTGTTGAATGATGTGGATGAGGAAATCCAAGGCACGTAGCCCGCCTCCCCCTCCGGTCGCGCGGGCTCTGCACCGAAGGCTTGTGGTTTGAAATGTGGCACGGACCCATTGCAAGGTTGAGGCAGCGCAAATCGACGTCTGAGAGCAGCAAGAAAGACGGGTGGAGAAGATGAGGCGGGCCTCCTTGCCCCTTCGACGGGGCACCACGGCGCGGTCTGAGGCACGTGTCTCGATTAAGCGGCCACATTTCTTGATGGTTTTGAAGGAAATCCAAAAGGAAAGACGGTCATTTCGGCGGTCCAACAAAAAACACATAGAGCAATCACGTTGGCAATCGCCAAAAACACATTCCTTCGATGAAATCCAAACCCCATGAGGATCTCATCTTCAAAGACATAATTCCAATCGTACATCCACATTCATGAAACAATGCATCTAAGTTTGCAGAGATGGGAAGCCTGGATATCTTTCTTCTTGGCTGAATTCTTAAACTGGTGTTTCCCTCCAAAGCAAAGGCACGGGTCTCAACCGAACTTTCTTGTTGCAAAAAAACCCTGGAGACCAAAGCCTGGAACCCGGCAGAACCGAGCTCACTTCCCATCGAGTGCATTGGCCCCAAAAAAGCCCAAGCTTTCGATTGGCCGCCATGGTCCAAAACAGTCAATTTTGTTGATGTAACACCAACATGGTCCAAACAAGTCCAAACTGCTTATTTACTGCTATGATAAAATTGCCAGACCTGAAAAGCGACTAAAGTCCAATATGTGACTCGGGGAGCTTCAGAGTCGACTCGCAACGGGAGATAATACGGAAAGTCATTGCCCTTGGCACCATAAACGGCACTGAATGGCTCCCCTTGCGAGTCGGAATGGCCCGTAGGCACTAATAAGGGATTAGTCACTAGGCTGCAATCGCTGGCTTTGTGGCACTGCATCAGTCGGAGTCTCTCTCTCTGACCTTTTCAAAACAGGTCACTCAAAAGAAAGGGATCATGAACTCATGTTGGGGTCAGAAGGAGACTCCGTGCTGCGGATTGGCAAAGTTAATTTCGACCAGTTGGAATATGTTGGAATGGATACCCTATTACAAAAACTGGTTGGCCACCACCAATCTCAACTGGTGCCTGGCGTTAATTTCGTCCATCCACAGGTGGTGCAACACCTAAATGGATCCCACACAAGCCTGCATAGTAGGTATCAATTCACCATTGTCCTTTTGACTTTTCCATCGCTTGGTTACCTACAACTTTTCGCCGGCTCGCGGCTCGCGAAAGCGAACGCCTCATCTAGGATGAGGTGGCTGTAGGCATTGATCTGCTCCGGGTTGTTCACCAAGACCTGACAGAACAAGGCGTCCTATGTTTCCTTTGTTGGCTGTAAACGTCACCTTTGGTCCTACACCATGCTCATGGGCCAAGCGAAATATCGGTATTTTAGAGGCCGATGTGTATCTTTTGTTCGGAGCCCGGTTCATAGAAAGCTAAGCTCAACGTGGCTTAGTACACAAACCGTTTTTTACAACTTCTAGGCTTGGTGGGCACGTGAAGGCTGATAGGAAGTCGGTACTGGAAAAGGTCAGGACCACTAGCATGAAAACTGAGAGAAGGCACTTGCAAAGCCAGGATTCCATAATCTTAACTCCCCGCTAAACTTGAACCCACTCCGCTTAGAAATCAAGCACTGGGTGTGAGCCTAACTTGTAGTCAAACAATGGAACCCTCTATAAAGGTACCTTCGATGTTCCAAGCTTCCAGTTCCATGGGGAGGGACACCAGCCTCGAGGGTCCAGGAATTTCGATGCCCTGTGAGGGCACAGGCAGTAAAGCCTCGCAGAGCACGGACTGTTCTCATTGGTTTCTTAGAGTCATACACCGGAACCCCGATCAATAAAAAAAAACCTCGGGCTGAAGCATATGCGGTCACAATGGGAACCCCGCATGAATGAACCGTTGACTGACTGAATGGCAGGCCATCTTTTCACAACCCCCCTGTAAGCACTTGCCGTGGTCTGGTTCATGTGTGCCGTCTTGTTTGATGTTTGGGGACGGCAGGGCCAGCTTCATAGAAATGCTCGAAAAGGATTGTGAAGGCTCCTAAGGCGACAGATCATGACCCACAGGTTTGCTAAAATCGTGTTACAAGGCAGGCGACAATGACGTAGGTCTCCTGCAATCTCCAACAAAGCCGGATAGGACTGAGCGGGCTCCAACAAGACCCGAAAAGCATTGAAAACAAAATGGCCCTTCCTGCGGGGTTCTTTGTTTGGCAGCCCTTCCCGGAAGAGCCTTTAGATACGCTGGGTTTCAGTTTTTGTTTGGGGAACCTAGTCCACCAAACCACACGAGTGTCGGACATGCATGTGACCCCCCTCAGCTTCCCTCCAACAGGTGGTTTGCATTTGGATTACCCAGAAACCACCAATCACACCTCACCACCGATTCCGGCTCCAAACCACAAATGACGTGAAGCCAGGGACGCTGAACCAAAGGGTCCACTCCCTTCTAGGGGTACCTTCCCCATTCTTTCCAGGCATCCTTCTTTCTAAAAAACCACCCCAAACCCTGGGGAACAGCTGGTTTTTGGAAAAAGAACGATGGTTGAAACGAATGGAAAAGGAATCAACCCCTAGATCCCTCAAAAAAAGAAACACCAGTGGAACTTCCCACCGCGCCTGCAGGAGGTACCCCGTGGTGACGTAGACCAGCTTGGTCTTGCCGGGCCCTGATCGGATGGCCGCCCGAGGCTTGACCACAAAAAACCGAAAGGGACACCCCAGCCCCTTGATGACTAGGTCCTCCAGAGAGGCTGGAAGAAGGGTACCCACTTTCTTCTGTAATCTATTTTAACTATTTTAGCAGGGGAAGCCTCCCCCAAAAAAGGGTAAAAGGGCACTACTGAAAAAAACCTAGGTGGATTTCTGCACATTCTGCCCGAAAGAGCCAAACGAAGCAACAAACGAATCCGGGTCTCTGAGCACTGAGCGCGACGACCGTTAGAGAGTTTGGTGGCCAAAGGAACAAAAGCACAGCAGGAACTTGTGAACCGAAATTGAGGCACCCCCAACAACAAGCCCTCCCAACGTCATGAGCTTGCCCCCAAGAAATTGCCCCTTTGTTTGGCGGCATGCCTCTGCTTCCTTTAGGCATCGGTCAGCTTGGGGCTAAATGACTACGACCCTACAACCATAATTTTCCTTAAAAACACCTGGAATGGTGTTACCCATTGCACCCGGAATCCTTCTACTTTTGTTTAGCCCCTATGTGAGCACGACTGGTTCAGGCAAGGCATGCCGTGTGTGGCTTTCGGACGTGCATTTGCCCACTTGCAATAGGGAATTCACCATGGATGACCAGGTTACAGGCCCTATCCTGACTCAAGATACCGTAGATGTTCGGCCTTCCCAACCGATTGTCTGAAAGTGTTACAACCTTTATTCAGCTTCCCTCATTGGTTTGGATTGGTGACCGGAGGTGTTCCAGGGGAGGTCTCCAAATAAACCCTCTAGAGAAGCCGGGGTTCAAATACCCAAACCAACCCAAGGGTTACCTGATAAATTCCGGCCACGAAACAACGACAAACAACATGGTTACCACCTATTCCCCAAACAAAGTATCACCACTCCACTAAGAACCTCAGTTTAAACTGGCCCAGAAAGTGATGCTTAAACCAAGGGGAAATGTAGGGGCCCCAGGGAAAACACGCAGACCCCCTGGTCAAGAGCTCCTGTTTCAGAGGAGGCCTCCCCCTGAAAGCGCAACAAGTTAATAAACACATGGAACATCAAACATCTACCGCTTGTGCTCCCGACCACGAAAGATGCTAGATTCCAGTCTATGTAGTAAACCTTGAAACGTAAGCAAAGTTCCAAAGAGGTACCTCTGTGTAGGCAGTATTCCCATCTCAAAGGGGTCATCATTTCACCACGGGAAAAGAGATCCCATAAATGCTGGAATCGTGCGCCCACTGCTTCCACTTACGACTAAAGTAAGGAATCAGGCACAACTACCATGTAAAACCTTGAGACGAGGAACCCTGGTAACCTCAGTTACAGTGGTAGCTGGAAGTACTGGGTTGGTTGCAGACTGAGTGGCTCGACGCTCTTCACACTAGGTGTCACAAAGAGACTCCGAGTATCGTGTAAGGATTGATTCCGCCCAGGCGTTAAATTTGCCGGCGTACTCCAACGATGCGCTGAAAAGAAATGAGATGAATGCAACAAAGGGCTCGGAATCCAACACAAATTTCATTCCGGTGGTAATACCTTGGTCAGCGTCCAGCCCTAACCTAGGAATTAAACATTGTTGTTGTTCCTCATTGCAATCAGGGGCAATTTCAGCGGGACTTCCCAGCTATGGGCTTTGGAAGCGTGGAGGCTATACACCACGTATGTAAGGGGTTATATATATATAAATACATCCTCACCTCCTGAGTGGGTTGGTCAACCAAAGTCTGAACCTTTTACCACCAACATGGTCTTCCCAAGTCTATTTAAAGTGCCGGAACTCGAGTGAGTTCCAACAACACGCAATCCCTCCCATAGAGATGCTCGAAAAAGGCGGTCCGAAGTTTTCTTGGACTCCCCGCGAACTCTGGTGTCCCCGCTGATCTTGTAGCCAATGGACTCCCCCACCGGCTCCTATTGGAAGGAGCAAGGCTGTGGCAACAAAAGGAGCTTCTGGACACCTACGAACTGGGAGTTTGTCGAGAATGGTGGCTGCTTGGTATCTCAAGGACACTGCTCGAAAACGGTAGAACAGCCACCTTTTCATTGGTAAAGGGTGTCCAACATGGCGACCAATCCCCTTCCAGCACCCTACGAGCAAGTCTGATATGTCCAAGATACCCCAAGCGACGTCCGAAACGTTGTCATGGGGTGCTGGTGTTGGGCTCCTGTTTTCACCCGGCTCGAGGCCTTCTAGGTGACTCAAGAAACCCTCAAGGTCTTCCCGTTTTATCTGCTCACATCAAAGGACATCCTCCCCAAAAGGCAACATGGATGTGTCGAACAGGAAGCACGCGATTTGGTGGGTTCCCAGAAGCCCAAAAGAGTACCCTCAACGGAAAACACAGGGTTTGGTACCTTTTCCCCCCCTGCCCAAGCCATAGCAAACACCAACTTGATGGAAATCTTCGGCAGTCTTAAAGACCCACATGGTTGGCTCCAAAAAGTACGGCCCCTTTCAGGCTGGAGCTCTTGGTACCTCAATAGGAGCCTTTTTGAGGTCTCCAACCTTCCGATGGAGATCCCTCTCCCCCTGCAATGAGTCACAATTCATCAAGACTTGCGTTTGGTTGCTGGAAATTGGTTGCTGGCAAAAACCAAACTTGTATCCTAACTCTACCCACCTGGTAGGACCCGCATTTGGAAATCACCCTAACTTACAAACCTGAAACAACGAGTCAAGTAAAAGACCTTCATCGTAGGTGGCGTCGGTGTTTTCTGTTCGGTGAGCTCGTGAAAATTTGGCCGGCTAGGAATGCTTTGTCAGTTTGCTTTTGGTCCCACAGCCATGACATTGACTGGCGATGACAAGCACTGGAAACGTGGCCAGTGAATCATGCAATAAGGAAAGGGTATGACCTAACAAAGCTGGGTTGCTCATGAAAGGGGTCCTTAATTCCTCACTGGATTGGCTGAACGAGCATAAAGCATGATTCACTGTTTGCAAGTTCTTGGGGAAACAAACATTTCTCCAATACTTACGTTCAAGGCTATATCGGCCAAAACAAAAAACGCAGATATACAAAGATCCATTTGAGGAAGACTCATCTCGCCCAAATAAAACATCCACCACCAAGCATCATGCCTGATATTCGGAATAAGAACAGCGCCACGCAACAACTCAGGAAATCTGTTTCACAGCCACAGTTGCAATGAGGATCAGAGAAAACTTGGTATGGATACTTGGATAAGGGTACCCTTTTTTGGATGTTAAGAGGGACGCCAAAGGGAACCCACTCGTTTTGGGAGGAAATTATCTCGCAATAATGAGGTTGGGCGTGTTCCTTCCCGAAAGAGTGAAGGTTTCCGTCTTAACCAGAGCAGCTCCTATTCATCAACCAGCTTGTTTCCCATTCATAAGAAAGGGAAGTCGCCATATGAAACTCGAGTGACTTCCTGGTCAAATTGAACAACAACACTACATAATTTTACAAACTACGCATGGGCAGCAATATATTGCCTGCTCAAATCAAAGGACGGCCCAAGATGCACAACAAGCCTGGTTGTGAATTCTAATAAGGGAACCTTTGGTGGACATGATTTGCTTGGGGACTTATGTCCGACAACTATGATTCAGGGTTTTCCAACCTAGTTCCGGTTCGGCTTTTGCCAGAAGGGGGCATGTTCGGTCCTGCATTGTGTTTCGCAAAGCAATTGCAAACCGACAAGCCTGAACCCACCAGCTGTCCTTTTAAGGGACATCACCTTGTAAGCTTGGGGCAGTAATTATCCCTTTCTTGCAGGTAGTTTGAGGGTGCAGGAACACTGGTTTGCATCACTTCCTCGGAATGCAAGCTGCGCAGCGCCGAAACGACGAAGCTGCTAGCGCGCTTTTTAATCTTCTTCGAGCCAAGTGTCTTTAGATCCGGTGACATGGTTGTGGAGAATTCGACATTCAATGAGATTCTCATACGACAGCTTTGTCAAGGGTGTTTCTCCGGGTTTAAGAACAGAAAGTGGCAAGGATTTCCCACAACCGTGTCCTGCAATAGGGTGACTCCGACACACATAAGGGTCCTGGTTGCCAGTCTTGCCTCTGGATGCCTGAGACCTATCGGAACAAAAAGAGTCTTCGCCCAACCCCCCAAAAAAGGGGCAACGCGTCACCAACAATCTAGCCAATCTTGTGTCAAACAAGATCGCTGGGTTGCTTCCTCCGTCCCACAGGCAAAAGGTCGATCATTTTCTAGGTTTCATAGAAAACCATCTGTTTCCAAAAGGTTTTCCAAGGGCCTTGGGTCACACCAAAGGGACCAGCCATGGTTTACCCCACTCTCACGATCTGATGAGCCTGAAATGATCTGAGTGGAGCCTGGCGGATCCTGCTTGATTGGGAGGTTTCTGGACATCGGACTTCGGCTTTCACGTCCAACAGCCCCGATTGTGAGCTGCTTTAGTCCTGAAAACTACAGCCACATGGGGCGGTGGGTCGAATGAAGCCCTATGGAAATACAGAAGAAAACCTGCGGATTTTCCGTTGGGTAAATCTTGACCCATACCCAAATGATCCGGTTCCCCACAAGTTGCACCCGTGGTTCGTCACCAGGGCTCCCATAGGAATGAATACTTGCAGGGGGAAACACGGCCTCGACCGCCTGTTGCCAGGAACAAAAGTAGACACAACAGGGTTCCTTGCATTGAAACAAATACCCAACTAGTCGCCTTTAGACATTACCTCAAGGAAACTGAATCAACACGGTTTTACTAAGGACCCCCAAAAAAGGCCTGAGTCCCAACTCGTCAAATCAGCTTCAGGCTTTCCGAACTAGGCCTCAAACCGGGTGCATGCGTTTGCTCACGATCCTTGTGGAATGGCAAAAGGAGCATCAAAGCTTATCTTCCATTTGCCTAAGCCCCCTGGAAAAAATGAAAATATGTCTGATAGTGATAGATTCCCAATAAAACCAACAGGGGAAATAAACAAAATAGTCTGGACCGAATGGAAGTTATATAACAGATTAAAGCTAACCAACACACTGTAACACACCCCAAAGCGCAGGCACCAGGACCGCTCGAAGCCGCGAGTGAGAAACAGATCGCCCAAATCGCGCTTTCAAGGCGATCACCAGATCACCCGATAGCCCCAGGCGTCTGACCACCAATCCCTCTAAAATACATTCAAGGAGCTACACATGTCAACATATTTTCGTATGATATTCACTTAACGTGTTGAAGTACCCCACTACCAAATTCTATGTATTTGGGGCCGTTTTTTTTGGATGATGTGGCAAGTTACGATCTATAATGGACAGAATGGGACCCACTAACGGAGCCATCAGTGAGCTTGTGCCCGCATGTGGCTCGGTTCGGAGTAAACTGATGAATTAAACCTGACCTCGGTCCGTTAGGGCAACCAAAAGGAGGGTGTGACCAAGGTTTAAGCACGTAACGAGAGGTAGGCAACCAACGGTGTGGAAGACAGGCTCCTCCAGAGAACTACTGTGGATGGACGAAATCCTGCACAACTTGCAAACAATGGGAAACCATGGTTGGTTTGGTACTTACAGGGGAATCATCATTCTAGGGTTTCTTAGATGGTGCAGGATTTCGTCCATCCACAGTATGGCAGTTGAACACACCCCTGCACATTCGCGGGTCTATGGTGCCACTGGGCATGGGAAGGGAAGGGTCGAATCGAGCCAATCGACTTCTCCTGATATGGGTGTGATCAACAGGGAAATGTATTTGGAGTAAGGGGATTCATGTTCACCAACCCCTTTTGAGTTGGTTTCCTAGTAAAATCCCATAGCAAAACAAAGCTGAACTGCACAACAACAAAAATGCCGGAGGCCGGAAGATGGAATTTGCATGGAGAGGCTTGGTTCATCGCGATCTGTTGTTTGAGGCAGACGCCACTATTGAAAGTTGTTACGGACGATTCCAAAAAACATGATTTTATTCTCGCGTTCTTTAAACAAACGCACCATCCAACCAGGGTCACCAACTGCGTATTAATGGCCACCTGCATGCACTGCACCATGATACGTTCCCTTGAAACATCGACCCGTCCACTTTGAGCAACTGCTAGCTGATGGTAGCCAGAACAAAGCAATAATACTCAGAGTTAGTGACCCTTCTAGAGGGCAACTATCTGACTGACAGACCAACCGACCCAGTCACTCATTCACTCGCTTCTTGACTGATTGACTTAGTCAAAAAGTGGAACAAAAGGATCACCAGACAAACCTTGTTGAGGCCTGGAAAGCCATGTCAATCAAATGTTCTGTCCATACAGCTGTGGCCAAACAAAATGGCACGCTTGGTGTTCGCTTTGTCAACATGGTGTCTGTTAAAAGATGCGAAGCGCCCTTCCGCAGAAAACCGCAAAGACTACCATGTTCCGCACAACCAAACACGCATTTTGGCATTGGGTCTAGAGAACCCTTGTCTTTTCTTGAGGGTTCCCTTTTTCAGATTGGTTGAAAGGGAAACCAAAAGGGAAACCACCCTTGCTCGTTTGGGAGGACGCGCGTCTTGGTTTACTCCTACCTGCCGAGCCGGAAAGAGTCACGGATGGTCGTCCACAACTCCATCTGCTTGTCAAGCCTGGGCTTTCACTCATGTGATGGTCATAGCGCTTAGACCGCTTCAGAGGGGCATGACCATCCCCAATCCCAAGTGAAGGATTGTGAGGTGCTTTAGCCATGGCAGATGTCCAAGGATATGAAGCTAGGTCCTCCAGTAGGAAGATTGGAATAAGGGTTCCCTTTTTTCTGCAGTCTATTTCAGCAGGGAACCCTCGCCCAAAGAAGGGTAAAAGGGCAGTACTGGGGGACCTTGGAAGGCTTGCCCCGGAGACTTGGGCCCCTCTTTTCATCCCTGGCAACTCAAAACCCAAGAGGTGTCCCCCCTCGAAGTCCTGCTTCTTGGAATGGACAAGCTGCCACGATTCGATCGAATGGACAAGATGCAAG